ACCGAATGAGCGAGCATCTGGTCGAATACCAAAATCACGCCATGGTCGAGTAAGTGGACGACGTGTGCAATTACGAGCTTTGAAATCATAAATAAATTCCATTTGTAAATCAAACAATGCAATGACATCGAAGAAATTGGTTTCTCTGTCAATGTCAACTTCTTCAACAATACGCTCACGATGATAAGTAGCATCATAACTTAATCGTCCACGTACCCTAAATCTGTGTTGATCATTGTGATCGAAAACATTTGCTTCCCATTGTGGTGGTGTTATGCATGGTTTTGGTTGTTGGGCTACAATAAAACCAACCAAACAGAGCAGAAGGATGGCGAGCATTTGTCTTTGAATACAAATAACAAATAGTTGGAAAAAATTAAATTGACTGTTTATGAAACAAAACGCCTTTATATACGGGACTGGAGAGATAAGAATTCACTATCATAGCCTTGAAATAAAGAAAAATAAATAGGGGGACAATTCATATGCAGTTATCAACACCGTTGGAGGGTGCGTTTGATTATAGAACAAAGTAAATAGACCGACATTGTGGTGTTGAGTAAATATATATATATATATTTGTTATAATGTAAGGACGAAAATGAAAACATTTGTTTGACATTAACCTAATATGTAATTGTGCAAAAGTTTGTTGTTGTTTTTTTTTTAAATAAATGAAAGCTTCCCGCTAGTCATTATTATTTATTATTTGTTGTCTGTAAAATGTTAATAATTGAATCATGGTTAGATCCTCATTCATGGAAAATAAATAAACGAGATTTAGAAAATTTTTCGAAATATGAAAATATTGTCGAACAACAACAAAATCGATTAGATGAAAATAAAATAAAAAACATTGTATCAACATGTATTCGTGATGAGCTTCGTGAAAAAATTTATAATCGAGATTTAAGTATTCAACTATCAAAAAATATTTCAAAAAATATTCGTAAAGAACTTTCTGATAAATATAAATTTTATAAAATTATTATTCAAACATTTGTTGGTAAAATGTCAAATGAAAAAATTCAAAATTTAGATTCTCATAGTTATAAATTATATGCTTCATATCATTTTGATCAAAGAACTGACAAATGTCTTTCAGTTATTCAAAATAATGGACAAATGTAAGCAATAAAAATTAACATAAATTCTGAAAATTTTCTTTTCTTTAAATTAACCTTACAACTATAAGTGAAGTTAATTGAAGTAAAAAATATCATATGCAATACTAATCAAACAAGTAAACAATAAATGATTCTAAAGAAAGATTCTTTAAATAGCCGTGATGCAAAAATCTTCTTTATAGAATTAAAATTTATGCTTTACAGCTGAGTCTAAAACTATATGAAGGAAAAATTTTCGAGAAGTCTTAAGACTTATGTTAACTAAATTTTGATAAATTCTTAAGTATCCTAATTCAAGTTTTTAGAATTTTATATGTTGGTAATTCGAAATTTAAGTAAAATTCTTTTAGTTCTGGTTTGATAGAGCTTGTCGAGTTACCTATAAAAATATTCTTTTTTTGACACATTCAAGCGATATTTTCGTAGTCAAACTAAGCTAAACTAGGTTTTAAAAAAAAATTATACATGATTGGTCAAACAGTTCTGACAACAGATGTCTAAAATTTCGTCCTGATTGCTTTTGTTCTTCATGTTAACTTATTCTAGTAGCGGTAAACTCAGTCGTTATTAGATTTAACTGGTAAACGAATTCATGATAAATTAACTATTATTCATGGATAAAGTATTGTTTCATATTGCACAGTTATTCATTGAGTTCATCAAGTTCCAAGTTGGCGAAAGTCGTTGAAAGATGATCTTCGAATTGTTCATTCAATAGCCATCGTTACTTAAGAAAATTTTGATGCTCTTAAGGATCTAGCGAATGTTAATCCACATATAAATATTGATTATGTTCCTAACACCTTTGGCGAGGTTATCACATAAATTATCGTGATGAATGCTCGAAGATATTGGTCAAAAACTTACATAAGAAAGAAAACATCATCAATAACAAGTAGCCTAAATTTGCATTTTAAAATGTAGAATCTCACATGCAAGATATTGTTCTCCGTCTTAACTATCTGCAAGAAGAAAAATCTAAGTTGTAGTTTATCCATCATGCACGCCTGACTTTGCTTTTACACATCTTTGGTTATTCAGTTGTCTAAAACGTAGTCTTGAAACATATCCACATGCTACAAGTTTAGGTAAATTAATAACCAACGAGCTCAATTCAATACCTATCCACGAATACCAAAAGACCTTTCAGAAATTGACTGACAGGATGAAGCTTTGTATCGAACATTAACTGTACAAAGATTAGCAAGATGTTTTCTCTAAGAATAAATATTTGAAAGTTGCACAACTTTTTGACTATTCTATGCAAAAGCATTTAAAGATTAAAATACACCAAAAGTATTAAGTCTCGGTAGTTTTAATATTTATACGAATGTACTTTTTTTTTATTTCACTCCTCATATAATTTTAAAAAAATTATGCATGCTTTTTAAAAAAGCTGTAAGCCCAATTCCTGTGAGATTAAAATGTGAAACACTGTGTAGCTGTTCGTGCTAATCACCGATAGATTGATTTTTTTTCTATATATTTTTACTTCATCCTTTAGAAATACAAAAAAAAAGAAGTAGTTTATATGTTAGAATGAGATATTATTGATACACAGTCTTAGACCGTATATCAACGGTGTGCATCACAGTCTATGAGTGTGAGGGAGTGGGTCCAAATTTCTATCCTATATACTTCAACACTCCTTTTAGATCGTGTTTCACAAAACAGAGACAGTCACAGAGCACATTCTTTCTTTCTACTCAGTCTTCAGGACAGGGCACCTTGAGAACAAATAAACTGGAGTTGACTGTGGAATAGATTTGTACCTAACGAAAAGCTTTGATCATTTTTCCATTCGGTACTTATATCTTTTTTATATTATTTCAAAAGAATATTATTCATGTATAAAAGTCAGATTATAATGGAGTAAAAATAGTACCACTTTATGTTATCTGTGATGAAGAAATAATTCTTTTTAATTGAATATCTTGCCTTTTGTTTTTTAGCATGGTGTATGACGTTAGTAGCATATTCATACAAAAACAAGATATCCGTCGGTGAAAACATGGATTCTTCATAGCCTAGTATCATTATTTAATGGAGTCGAAGTCTTTCATCAGTTTGTAGCAGCAGATCAGGATTCACTTTTTTATTATTTGCTAGAGGTGCTTATAATTTGATGAAAGGTACTGAATCTCCTTAAGAGCGAAAGAGCTCATATCGAACGATGATTAATTAGAATGAGTATCATATACATAAATTCTAATAAAATATGCCAAAAACATGAAATTATCACTAGTTGATGAAATGTCATTGGTGACACATGTTCTGAAAGATTCATATTTGCACTTAGTGAACGAATTCAAACGACTTTTTATGAAAAATTTAACATAACATCAGGACGCCTCGACCTGAAGATTGTCTTGGTCACAAAATACTGTTTAACTATCAAGAAAAAATTTCTTTTTTTCGATATAATATTTAAATATAGCATAAAAACGACTTTCTATTTAAAAATTTTCACTATTAGAACTCCAGCTTCAAAAGAAACAAATATCATATTCAGAATTAGCAGAGAAAATAATTTTCATCAAATTTCGACTTTAGGAAAAGCACAAGACACAGTATTCAAAAAGAATAACAGTGCAAAGGATGCAAAGACCAAAGTTTAACGAAATTAGTTTTAATTATTAAGTCTACTATTTAATGTAGTTTTCCCGACGGGTTCGAAATATGACTATCCTTTCATTTACGATTTTCTCAACAGTGAAACAATATTCTTGAAACAGTATACTTTACTTTTTTCCTAATCATACAACAAATTAAATTAAAAAACAAACATTCGGAAAAATATTAAGACTACCAAGATCTGATGCTTTTCACGTAGTTCAATTTGTATAAGCTTTTCATATGTTTTTAACCTAGTTTTCCTAGTTTCACTACAAAGTCATCCCTTGAATATGTCAAAACAACATCTTAAGAGGTCACTCGCTCAGCTTTATTCAACCATAACAAAAACATATTTTGATCCAGTTTCGAATTGCCAACGTCTTACTTCTTCATTTTTATTAAAACTTGCCTTTGAAAATATTTGATAAAAATCAGTTGTCCAAATTCTTTCAAATAATCAATCTATTAAAATTGATTCAACCATAAAAAAAAACTTCCCAATTACAAATCGATAATATTCAACATACTAATAGATATGAATTTGGTTCCATTGAAGATGAGAACATTTTCCGGATATGTTTCTCATGAAGATATTTCGATAAAAATCCTTTATCATTGATATTATTTTAGATATTGTTCTTGCATCATTTTTCTACTCTTCTATCTTTCATCTGATCATCAAAAATCAAAACATCAATAACAAAACTAGACAAATCATTGTTTATCTTTCATCATTATTTTTTATTAAATACGAAAATAGCTCTGCTCGATGTCTCTCTCTCTTTCTCTTCTTGAACAAAGAAAAATTGAAGGAAAAAAACAAAAACAAAAAGAATTCATCATACTCACAATAAGAACAAGAAAAAAACATGATATAAGTAATATAATAATAATAATTCTTTAGTAGGGATCGAGGCAAACTCTAGCACATACACAATAAATAATAGAGAGCAAGAAAGACAACAAAAACAGAGAAAAAAAAAGATAAATTGTTTAAGAGAGACAGAGAGAAACTATACAGAGAGAACTCTTCTTTAAATTAATATTTTTTTTTTTTTTTGTTTCTTTGTACAATGAACAACGTACTAGCGTACAGAAAAAAATTCTTTTTGTTTATGAAACGAAACAAATTTTGAAAGCAAATAAACGATTGCAAATATACATAGGCCAATAAAGACAAAAATTTTCTTTTTTTCAGAACTAATTTTTAAAAACAATAAACATACAGAAAATTGTCTTTTTTTTTTGTTTGAATTTTTATGTTGTAAGATCCGAACAAAGAAAATTTAAGAGAATATCTTCAGCTGAATTATTATCAACATTAGCTTGTTGTTGATTGTTTGATTGTTGTCCTAAATATGTATCAGCCAATGCATCAATATCATCAAAAAATGTCTAAAATTATGGAAGAAAAGATGAATTTTCTGTTTCTTTTTTTAAATTCGTTTAAGAAAACTTACGGATGATACATCATCAGTTAAATAAACATTTGTTGGATCTTTAAGATAAGCAGCTAAATCATCAACATTATTCATGGATTTATTTTGTTCATATTGTTGATTATGATTTGACATTAATTGTGTTTGATCACTTGACGATCGTGGACGTGTTAAAGGTGTCGGTGGTGCTGATAAAGGATTTGGTGTCGGTGGCATCATAACTGGTGTATGAGGATTTGTATTTTGATTGTTTATTGTTTGAGGAGTTAATGGTGTATGTGGAAATGAATATTGATGTGGAGCAACACGAGGTGTACCAACACTCTAAACGTCAAACAGAAATTTATTGAGAAGAAAACATTTTTTTTTCGAAAAATCTTTACCGGTGGACCAGGTGTCATTTGTCTATCATTAGTATCACCACTAGGACAAAGTGCATCTGTAAGAGAATTAACTGAACCTGGAGCACCATGGTGATATGGTACACCGAATTCAGCAGTACCATTAAATTCTCCATTACTATGCATTTGATGTGGTGTACCAGGATTACTCAATGGACTTGTGAATATTTGAGATTGATGATGTGAGAGTGTTGTTGGAGATGTTTGAGCATACATTGGATGATCTTGTGGAATAGATAAAGATGCTGATGGTGGAGGTAATTGTTGAGCTGGTACATATGAATTTGATGTTGAATAAACTGATGGATAATATGTTGTTGAAAGTGGTGGGGGAATACATACACGTTGTTGTTGTTGCACAGGTATATTTAAAGATGATGGTGGTGCTATTGGTTGATATTTTATAAGAGAGTCTTCATTTAATGAAGCTGTAGTATTTTGTTTCTTTTTTGTTTTTGTTTTTGTTCCTTTTAATTTTGTTGTAGATGTTGTATCAGATAAAATAGCATTATAACTTTGTTCAATAGGTATTGGCTGAGGATGAGGATGTAAATGTTGCTGTTGTTGTTGTTGTTGTTGTTGTTGCTGTTGCTGCTGTTGCTGTTGAATCTGGTGTTGTCTCCAAGCAGCTTGTTGTTGGTATCGATACCATACTTCATGTTGTTGTTGATAATACATTTGTTGTGATGGATGCATTGGATAATGACCATTAGTCGTATGCATATGTTGAGTACATTGACAAACTGCACCTGACGGGTGTGAATACATAGATGGATGAGGTTGATGATGAGATGGAGGCGGAGGCATTGGATATGGCATTGAACGTGTTCGTGCTGCCATCATTTGTTGTTGACCTGGATGATAACCAACCATGGGACCATGTGTTTTCGTAGCCATGATTCGTTGTTGTTGTTGTTGTTGTTGTTGTTGTTGTTGAATTTGTTCCATTTGAACAGATGTATATGAAACATTTGTATTATTAGGAGTATAAATATTCTAAGAATTAAAATTTTAGAAATATTTATCAATTAAAATGATTTATTTTAAAACACTTACAGGATTTGAAGTTGAGGAAACTTCATCAGATAATGATGATGATAATGTTGTATCATCGGAATCATTTTTAACACATATTGGTGTTGTATTTGGATTTGGTGATGTTGCTGAATTAGATGGAGAAAGAGGATTAGATGACGCTGTTGATGAATTTTGTTGATATTGATATGATTGTTTGATTTCACTCATTTGATGCGGTGATGGATATGGAGAACTTCTTGAATGTATTGTATGATAACCAAGAATTGGACCTACGCCACCGGATATCATTCTATGATGTTGCTGTTGTATTCGCCATTCATCCATTGATATTATTGGATGAATATAAAGTGAATCTGTAATAAAATAATTCACCTGTTGGAAATGTTCAATTCCTTGTGCGTTTTTTTAAAGAAAAATAATCGACTAAATCATCTACAAGGGTAATAATCGCGTCCGTATGCAACGACGAGAACGACTGGTCGAAACACAACAGACGAGAAAGAGAGGAGAAGAAGAAGAAAAAAAGACACACGTCAAAACGTCGTACAGCAGTAGCAGAAAAGCGAACGAACGGAAGAAAAAAAAACGAGAAAGAATCACTTGCACCAGCCAAACGTCTATCTGTCTTTCTCTTTTGTGTTGATGATGGTGGCGTTGGATGTTTCTTCTTCTCGTTCTCGTCGATGATTCGCGAATTGTAGATAGGTACTTCTCTTTCTCTTTCTCTTGGCGTCGATATGTCACTGTCACTGGTCTCTTTCTTTTCTCGGCAGGCAGCAGCAAAAGAAAGAAAGAGAAATGTAACCGATCAAAACTATCAAAAGGTTCGCGTTGCTTCGTCTGCCTATATCAACGAACGACGAAAAGAAAGGAAAGAGAAAAAAATTCTTCTTCTTCTTCTTCTTCTTCTTCTTCTTCTTTGGCTGTTGCACATCAAATAGTGGTCGTTATAAGCAGGGAACGTGCACTTGTCCTCTTCTTGCGTTTACTTGCTATACACAAAAGTGAAATGAGGAGTGAAAGAAAGCAGTAAAATGGGCACAAAATGATCGGAGTGATTGCTTTTTTTTGCATCGATAAAAATCATTTTCTTGTTTTGCAAGAACTACCTTTTCTTTGTATTTTGTTATATTTAGCAATGATGTATATATACGTGTATATGTAAATATATATAGATTTACAAAATAAAACTATCAATTCAATTTTATATTTCTATCTAAACTATTTCAATTGTTCTCTTTCTCTTTCTCTTAGCGGACACGCCGATTTGTTTAATACATATTATTGTTGAACTCGTATATGAATGGTTAGGTAGAAGATAGGGCATAGAGCAGTCAAAGAAAGAGAACGAAAAGACGGAGCAATGAGGTCGTCGTCATCATTGTTATAATGTTATTTGGTGAGGTATAATAAGCAGCGAGAATAAATGGTGAAGGAAGAGTACAGAGGTCATCGCTACAGTTTCAATATGACATATGATTGAATGAGAGAAAAAAATAGTGACCTATTGGGTTCGATGATTGACCCTTTATTTGCTAAACATGTCTCAACATCTTAAGTCTAAATATGTTAATCTTTAGTTAAATTACTTTTGAAAAGTTAAAGACAAGTCATAGTAATATATGACATATGTATTGATGACCATAGATTGAATAATTGAAAGAGCGTGGCAACCTAATTGAGGTGCTTCCTGTTATACACATTCTCTGTATTTGTTCTCTTAGTTTTTTTCTTTTTTGATTTCTCGAATAGTTTGTTAAATGTGTTCAATGAACACATATTGAATATTGATCACTTGTTCTTTCATTCTTTGATATTCAATAAGTATAACTATCTGAATATTTATATTGATCGATTCATTCAATGCTCAGTTGAAATGCTTTTATTTACAGCTAACAGAAAAAGAAATTTCTTTCTTCATTCTTTTTTTCTATTGTTAGTTATATATTTACATCATCTTTTTTTTGCAAACGTTGAGATTTGACGAATCAAAATCAAAGTTATTCGTAAGACATTTTGTTAGCTAGACTAGCTAGAAAGAAAAAAAAAAGGACGTAAGAAGTACTTGGGCTCCTTGCTATTATTAGAGCTAAAGCCTTAAGAGGATGAGCAAAAAAAAAATAATCGAGCGCGGCGCGTAGTAATAGCAACGATGATGACAATAACAACATCAATAACATCACGAAGAAAGACAGGAAACAACGAGAAAGAAAGAGAAAGCGGGGTAAAAATGAATAGAGGAAGGCAAGACAGACAAATAAAACCAGTTGTAGGAAGGTGCAAAAGAAAAAAAATCCGGAATGTCTCAGTATCGACGCATTTTTTTTTCTGCGTTTCTAACATACAAAAAGAAACAAAGTGATGATCTGTCGAACATTGTGGACGTGTGTTTGAATGTGTTACTTAGTCTTATTTAGAGTTGAGATTCTTGTTTTTATTACTCCAATCATTTTTTTTAATTATATAATCGACGCAAAAGAAAAAAATAGGGAACAAAGAGAGAAAAAGGGCAGCATTGAGTTCATATCCATGAAATAAAGTAATTTAAGGGCGGAAGTTTCTTACCGGTATTATTTGTCGATTTGTTTTGACGTAGTATGATTTCAATCACTCAAAATGATGCTGTCTTGTTCGACAACGAAAAAATATAGAACTGAAAAATAGGAGAATGTGAAAAAAAGAATCGTGACGTAATGAAGAAATAACTTGACAGTGCCATGATAAAACGAACTAGCTTTGCGTCATCATCAGACGCGTAGGTGGTCATGTCAAACTTTCTTTCACATTCCTTTCATTTTCACGGAATGAAAAAAAACACAATACCAAATTGATAATCATGAGCATATTAACATTTAAGATACCTCCAATTCTCTATACTGTGCATTTGAGAAATATATCATAGTTGCCAAAAAAGAAAAAAAAAAAAGGAAAAAAAGAAAGTTGTCAATCATTTGTCATTCAAATTTTTTTTCGTCTTTGGTATTTATCACATTTTTACTTGTTTACTGTACAAATCTATCAAGTGCGTCTATTGTGACCCAAAAAAAAAACGATTACATAGACGTAGGGCATATGATTCTAAACATTGAGATTCTTCGTCAATGATTTTTTTTTGTTTCGTTTCTTTTCTTCTTCTTCTTCTTTTTTTATTCATTCATTCTTCGTTCTTCTACTAACATTTTTTGACGGGCATTCGTGAGGAATGTGTAAACGGCACCGTAAGCGCAACCATCAATACGGATTCAATCAATAACAGCAAACGAGTACATATATATATATATATATACATATTGTATAATTATGACGTTCTCTTGTCAACAACACATAGGAAGAGAAGAAGCAACAACAGAAACATGATGAAGTTGGCTGTAAATGGGGATCCTTTTTTTTTTCGCCACTGTGTTTGTCAAATGTTTCTTTAGTTTTCTTTTTTTTTCGGGGGGTAGGCGTTGTTTGTGGTGGTGGTGGTGCATACTAGAGACTAAGAGACGATTTGTTCTCTTTCTCTTTTTCGACATAAACGACGCTTTCTTCTTGCTCTCCTACCTGCAAGAAAGATCGGATAAGAGAGATAGGCTCGAGCGAATAAAAAAAAAGAACAAGAAGAAGAAAGAGAAAACGACTACTAGTGAATGTAACACGAGCTACTAACATCACCCGATCTTATGACAGCGGATGATGTCGATGATGATGCCGATCGTGCCAGTCCGCACATCGCATAAAAGATAATATCCAGCTTGCACGCACACGCGCTACTACCAAACAGATCGTTATATGTTGCACGATTGAGACAGACAAAGAAAAGGCTTCATACGCATAACATATATGTATATATATACATATATAATTCGATTAGCGTTGAGGTGATATGCTTGATATGGGCATAAGAGGAAAAAAAAGAAAAATGAGCAATCTAGCTTTCTTCAATATCTATGATATAATAGTATCAAACAAAGATAGAGATATTTCATGAATTATTTCTTATTATTGATTTACTATTGAGATTTAGTTGCTTCACTACAAAATATACAACATAAAGACAACTAGAAACAATATGAAATGTTTCTTTATGAGACCTTATAAAAGACCAAACGATCAACTACTAAACTTTTACATCTTTTTTTCTATCTTATAGTACAAACAAATAATGGAGAAAAATTGTTTCTTTTACGTACAAACGTTTTTTTTTTGTTCGTTCTTTATCGAGGTACGGACTTCATTGTAATACAAAAGTTTGAGCATTCATGAGTATAATAAAATAAACATTCAAACTTACAAATCGATGAAGCACAATTTAAGCATGATCTCAAGGGCAAAAAACGTAGTGAATGCAAATCATTTTCAAAATTCAAACAGTTTGAGTCAAAGGAAATTATAGGAAAAACAATCAATACCGTTATAATAATGAACATAGGAAAAAAAGCTCTGAAATGTTTGGTTCTTTCAATACAATTGAATGTCAAATTTTTTCACATGTGTGAAAATAAATAAAAATGATCATCTTGCCTTACATGTGCCCTTTCTAATATTATTAGTCTACATTAATTCTCCAAATATCAATTCCATTTATGTCATAGGCAGATCATTCGTCTCATACGTATCAGTCCATATGCTATAGGCTATAATCGATAATCTTTTTTCCTGCAATTCTCTTGCATTTCAATCAAATGTTTACATATTATTCAAGAGCTAGATATTTACCAAACAAAAGATCTTCTGAGATTTGAGATGATTTGTATGGTTGAATTCATTAGAAATCTTTCTTTTTCTGTTTAATCTATGATAAAAAAAAAACTAATAAACTGGACAAACAGTTTTTATTCGACAAAAAATTCTCAGTTGTCTATCAATAAGTAATGTTCTAACACGTTTCTTAAATAGTCAAGTTGAATAATTGAAATATGTAATAAAAAGTAGAACAGTTTATTTTACTCAATCTCTTATTTAATTGAGAATTCTATACATAAAAATAATTTTTTTGCAAAGCTATTTAGTTCATGTCGTATAATGAGCTCATTAGAATCGGCAAAAAAATAATCTTGAGTAGGGCTTTTTTTTTTTCTTTCCGTAAGTTGGTTGTTTCTATGAACAATAATTTTAAACATTCATAAACTCAACAGCATTTCAAGAAGTTTTGAATCAATGAGTAGCAGTTGTACAGATACAACCAATGGACAATATACAACATTTTGGCTCGATTATTTTATTTCAATTGGTTATATTGATAGTTCAAGTTCCTACAATCCTTATGCACCATATGGCAAATGTACAACTTCATTATTATGGATAACTTATTTAATAAATCTTGTTCATTTTTTTCTTCTATCCGCTGGTATTCTTTATTTGCTTAGTTTTCATCAAAGTAAGTTTATGAATTTGAAAAATTCGTTAAATAATAGTTTTATTTCTTAATCATAGATAAAGCTGGATTTTGGTGGCCATTTATAACTTGGATTTTGTCGTTGATTTTTCTTATTGTATCGATTATTTTCTTCATAATTTGGAGTAAGATGAATTAAAAAGAATGATTTATTTATCTGAAAATTTTGCTTTTTTTTGTTTGTTTTTAGATTTAAATATAACTTTATTTTCAATACTAATTATTGCTTTTCAATTATCAACATTGATTATTTTATGGATTTCAATTTTTACTGTCGTTCCATTTGCATTCATAATTGACTATCGTTATCAACGATGTTTATTCTTTTCTCTTATTCTTTTACTTTTGATTCAAATTGGTTGTTTAACAATACAAACTCTCTTTACATTGCATTGTCTTTTTAATCTGAAATTTGTCGCGACATCTTTGGATTATGGTAAAAAAAAAATAATATAAAAATTAATCAACCAGAATTGTTTTTTCTTTTTTAGGTTATTGGTCAGCAATCATTGCTGCCATTGGTACAATTGTCTCAACTCTTTTGTTGGATCATATATTTCTATGGTGTCGTAAGTTGAATTCGATAATACAAATAGAGAGTTTGATAAACTACAGTTTCAAATAGGAAACCAACAAGTACCAATAAGAGTTCATCCTGCACCAATGAATCAACAAAATCAACAGAATCAACCGAGTCAACAGAATCAACAAAATAATCGTCAAAATCGACCTACATCACCTGTTGACCCAGCAGTATTGGACGATTTTCATCGTAATCCAGACGCAGGTTTATATCATATTTATAGTAATGAACAGGGAACAAGACATTTTCGTATTTTACCAAAAAATTCACGTATGATGTTTCAGTAGTTGCCGTACTTTTTATTAATATTTTTGTCTATTCTAGAACCGAAAGATCGCAAAACAAGTGTAGTAAAAATGCAAAACTTTACTAGCAAGATCAATGAACATAAATGATAGACATAGTGGAAGATGACAAGTTTATTAATGTAAACTTCTCATTTTTAATAAATATCATGAGGAATGTAAATAATTCCATCAGAGAACAGAGGATATTGATATAAAAAATGTCAAAAATACGTCGTTATTAGAACATCTTATTTTCTAAAAAGCATGTGTCGTGATAGATCAGTGGAGGGTCAGGCTGGGCGTATCGTGACTTGTAAAACTACAAGTCGTTTTGCACATAAAATACTGTCAAAATCTTTTCTATAGTTATACAGTAAACAAAAAGAATAGAAGTGAAAGTGAACTGACAACCAAATTAGATTAGTGACAAAGATATTCAACAGAAACGAGTATATCACTAATCTATTCTTTATACATACAGTTACACAAATGTAAACTTACTTTTCTAATTTTGAATTTTATCTTATTCTTCGAAAAATAATTTAAACAATTGTATTTAACGAGAATATTCATCTGTAATATGTACAGCGAAGTTTAAGATTGACAATAAGTTACCAAGAAAACAGAAAAATAATTTAGTCAAGGGTAATAATGTTATGTAAATTCTTTAATATTTCTAAAATTTACTTTATTAACAAAGTTATTGAAAGACATTCATAATTGATGTTTGTGAATTTTAGGGAGATTCGAGTAATGAGAATGCTACTATAATTAACACATTTAAGATTAGATAAGTCTTGAATGATCTTTATGGATAATCTCGTATTAGGAGTTCGTGAAATTTCAACTACATCGGAATGTGTTGTCATTTCATCAGGTCGAATTTTGGGAAACAAAAGAAAACAATCAATAAAACCAGATATTGCTAATGATTAGAAATTTTCGAGATACGTAATGCTGTTTTTTTGTTTGTGTTATGATTGAAACAAATTCAATGAAATTTCATAAAAAGAAAACTAGCACAATAGTCTCGATCTTTTTCTAATGTCAAACACGGCAGATCAGCTCAGCTTTAGTTTGTCAAAAACCTAGCAAAACACGTTACAAGGCAGAATGGCATGCCCTACTACCATTCTTCTAAAATACTTCTGGTCATCATGAACATTACTGTAGTAATGTACAAATAAGTTGTCTATATGAACTAGTTTTGAAGAATCGAACAACCGCGACATAATTACGGTAGCAGAATCTTTACCAGCGATTAATAGATTGACTCATTTGACTCTTAATAAACCTTATTGTATTGTTGGGTTGAAGTATATACATGTACAGAATATAAAATGAGTGTATATATTGAGGATTAAATATGTGTCAGAAAAAAAGTATAGATTGAACACCATATACGTCTTACGGTGATTGCTTAAAAGAATTTTTGTTTTAGACAAAGTAGTAGTCTTCATTCAATTTTGACGCAATCAAAATTTACAGCTGGGGTTATTTCTTTATAAATACAAATTGATTGATGGAAATAAAGTAAAGATTGATGTAGTTTACAAGATTTTGCATACAAGAAGCCGGCACTACCGAAAACGTTGGTGATATGTGAGAGTGATGATTGGATAGAGAATTTTAAAAAAACTCAGAGAGCTTTCTTGTTATTACCAGCATCACGTCATATTGACTAAGGAAGCAATAAATATCGTCAATGTGATGCAGTGATGTTGCAACATCTAGATGATCTATAGAAAGTCTTTTTCATTGATAAAAATGATTTTTGATGATATTCAAACAACTATTAAGGCACAACACTACTCCTTAACTGTTCCTATTGTATGTTCATTTTTCAAATTGAGAGTGTCTTTTATATGATTCAAACGTTGCTTTCAAATCCTCTGTATTCTTGAACATTGTACTCGCAGCATTATAACTGCATGCGATATCGTCGTGGTCCAATGGCAACGTTTGAGTCTGAATTTTGAAGGTTGTGAAGAATCATTCGAAATTAGTCTCATGATCACATTTTGCCGTACGCAACTTCGCTAAGTTCATGATATATATAAGCTTTATTTGGATCAACAATTGAAGGTTAATTCAACAGGTGAGGAAAGTGCTTTTTGACTTCTTTAAATTTGCCCGTATCCATTCGAGATTTCTCAAATTCAGAAAGCATTGATTTTTCTCTAATATTTGAGCAAACTTTTTTCTTCAATTTTTCATGGATTGACTTTGGTAGCCATTATTAATGTGCAATACCATTCGAACGTTGTACACTATGTCTTATGTTCTTCATTGTACATCTTAATAATATTCCAAGCAAAGTATGCTACCAAGCATTAATAAAAGCTTCTCGTCGTTTGAAAAATAGCTTTGAGATGTGATGTGAGCATATGAGTTAACGTCATCTAATTGAACTCCCTATCAGTTTCACAAAGAATTTACGATATACTTTAGGATGTACCGATTGATCCAAGTAAAATAGTTTCAGATCACGATTTGCATCTATCGAAAATTAAGAACTCATCGAAGCTAATTTACCAACAAGATTTTTTAATATACGTGGCTTGTTTATAGATGATGCGAGTGCGGATGTGACAAAAACGAAGACTTCAATCATACATGCAGTCACACCCAAATGCATATTCTGCAGCGCATGTGTTTTTGCAGAATGTGTACATAGAACGACAGTATCTATAGGAACACTGTGGAAGTTCTTTGTTGAATGAGATACAACTCGAGAAAACATATATATTAAAGCCTTAAATCTGTAATATGCGGGACGCTAATGATTTTGAAATTGCACGAAGTCTAGAGACCAAATGCTGCTTCCTATTCAAAGTCTCTACATATAATTCACTATTGCTTTCTAGATAACAAATATTCAAATAATAAATCATGATGCTCGACACCCACCGCAAGATAATACTTATTGCTCGGTTGTAGATCAAAACAACCGGTAAGTAGAAGAAAATATTTGAAATTAGACCGGCAACCATTATATGTAATACTAGATATTTTCAGTAAACGCACGCAATCAATTTATTTCTGGTTACAAGACAACTAAGCCAGAAGATAAAGTTCTATTGTATTATAATACTATTCGCATTTTATAATGACTTGTGGTATTTTTTATGCGATAAAACATCTGACAGCGTCCACATCAGTTCTTTTGGTTTACGAGTACATACGGACTAACATTAAGAACTATATAAATTGGCAAATATATGCTTTACACTTCGGAGAAATTGATTACCATTGACAAATAGAAAACGTTTTATTATATAGTAAAGTCAGTCAATCACACTTCTCAGTTGTAGAGGATCAGCAAAGACTTATTCAATCAACTTTCTTATCATTCAAGTATTAAGAATAGAAAAGCGAAAAATTTGTGTAGTAAGTTTTCAAAAAGTATCAATCAATCCTTTTCATTTATCCGTTAGCAGTAAATGTCCCATAACTCCATGATGCTCCATCACCAGCTATCTTCAATATCCATGATTTTGTCGAACGTGAAAAAGAATTGATAGTAGCATTCGACGATATTAAATCACTTTGCCAAAAACTTCCATAAGATGAACTTGGATTAGGAGTAAATGCTAGTGTATTATTACTAGAACTATATNATAAATGAATAATTCAAACTTATGACAGCTGTATTGTTGACAAGTGCCCTCTGAAATTTTATTATTTCGTCGATTTTCATATTTATCATTACTTTTCTACCAATTTATTTCATTTACTTAATATCGTTATACTATAAAAAATTATTTGTATTATTACACACATCTTCATGACTAGAATTTTGCTAAATTCTGTATGTCAATAAAAAAAGATCGCAGTTACGAAGAACTATAACAAAAGCGGTTCTGCGTTATCATGCTAATTTCTGTTATTTTTTGTAGAAAGCATCCTGTATCATGCAAACATCTGGTTTTTGTATTTGGCATGCATTGATTTATTTCTCATTAAAATAAAATCATTCATATATTCACAACATATAGTCTGAAAACGGTAGTTCAGTTTTTCGAAATTTGCCTATAGCTATTAGTGTTCATATTCACAGATCCCTAACACGTATAAGATGATTATCACGTACTTCAGTCCCGATTGGTATACTAATGTAAGTAGATGGTCGAATGGTGAAGAAGTTCGTCCTATGAAGTATAGTGTTTATGTTCGAATCTTATCTCTGAAAAACAACATCTGCGTGTTGATGTATGTGTAATTACATCTACTTCGTCTTTTAATCATTTCAAGATTGTCTTGTATGCAGCCACAATATTAAGCATGTACATACGCAAAATACCATGCATGCAAATGTGAATATAGTTTTCTCCGTGACGCGTTCCTACACATGCCATGCCATAACAATTCATGTATGTAGACGGAACAAGAATTCTACATGTACATAAATCTTATAGGCTTCCGTGTTTCATTGTGTTGAAATGTGCATATTTATATTTGGCGTTCAATTTCCAAAATGTGTCCGTTAGTGAGAACCAACATCGCAAAACAAATCACGATTGAACTTCATTGGTATATAAATAAAAGACAATGCCACTCTACTTTGTCTTTTTTTCAGATTCTTTTTATTTTAGTTTTGCTATTACTTAGAGCACTGAGTGTGTGGACAAAGTCCATTCGAGCCTCAAGGATATTGTTTGTTGTCTAACTATAAGTGTTCAGACGATGTGGATTACACGAAAACGTATTCACATGGATACTTTTGCAGTTTTCTAAGTGTGCTGTCAAGAAGATAATCATTGATAAAGGTCTGTTATAATAGCTTCGTATCAGTTTAAAATTTTCTCTCGAATTGTACCAACAACACCAAAAACCATTGACATAGTGTCGAGATATGAACTATTTATCTATAAAATGAACAAGTTGTGTTTACATGAAATCAATAGAAAATCATCTATGATTATTAATTGTACGATAAACTTTTGGACACAATTGTCAGGACTTTAGTATACATACTTTTTGGATGAAGTGACGCGTCTTTTCACGCTCTTCAACGTAGACAAGATTCATTCCGAGATTTTAGGAAACAGAGTTAACATACAGTTGAGAATAGAAAAAAAAACATGACATCATCAACTGTAAAATTAATGAATCTCGAAAATATAATGATCATTGGCTTCATCCCATAGCATGAACAGAAAGACTGAATAGTGAGTATTTTCGAACAGACATTGTTTTATCGACGAACATAAGATTATAATGATATCGGAAAAATAATATTTCCAAATATCAAGGCTATTTTTGCATGCACTAGTGTCCATCAAAGATATTGAATCATCAAAGTATCATAAGATATCAATCAAAAGGGTTCAATATCACTGTTTATGACTGACTTTTATTCTCTTTCGAATCTGAAGGTCTAATTTCCAAACGTAAACCTTTTCCACTACTGAGTTGAGTAACTAATAGTCTATCAGCACAGTCTTACTGATTTATATCGAATTAGAATAAAACTAGATTATTGTCTTCACTCCTTCAACAAAAATCAATGACACATAAAATATCATTTTCTGTTATCACAGAGAAAACTGAAACATTTAGTATATATAATCAATTATTTTATCATAGAAGTATTAAGAATAGAAAAGCAAAAAATTTGTTTAGTAAGTTTTCAAAAAGTATCAATCAATCCTTTTCATTTATCCGTTAGCAGTAAATGTACCATAACCCCATGATGCTCCATCACCAGCTATCTTCAATATCCATGATTTTGTCGAACGTGAAAAGGATCTGTTAGTTTCATTCGACGATATTACATCACTTTGCCAAAAACTTCCATAAGATGAACTTGGATTAGGAGTAAATGCTAGTTTATTATTACTAGAACTATATGTTATTTCAGTTGCTTGAAAATAATCAAAATTATACATAGCTGTACCAAACCATGCTTGTGTAAATTGATCATTTGTGTTTGGCGTTGATAAACATGCCATTTTAACACCTGAAAGTTTTTGATACTTAGCACATTTATCAGCTTTTATTTTCCAATCTGTTAATGAAAGATAGTTTCCATTAGAAACTAAATAAGACTCAAGTAAATATGTATCGTTTGAATTAAGTGCAACATTAGTTCCAGCAAATACATCATCAGGATTCCATGCATTCATAATAACATTCATCTTGTTTAAATGGCAATATTGAATCATATCCGACTGACGTTTCCGTGTCACACCATAATCATAACCAGCATCATCCCAAAATATACCCTTTATTAAATGGAATGAAAAAAAGAGAAAACTTAAAACGCACTTCTGAATTATATTCTTCTTACATTAGCACCCGTTGCTAACCAACCAGTAACAGCTTGTTGCATTTGATTTGTATTTAAGTTTTGTGTGATAACACCGAGATCAACATATCCAAATACTTTTTTGCCACGACTAGTCAAATTCTTCGCAATCGCTTGTGTTTTCACATGATCACCATGTGTAGTCTTCCAGATTCCATCGCCAAAAACGATTACATCAAATTGTCCAAACCAATTACTAGCTGCTATTACATTACCTTGGCTATTCTCTACTAACGATGGCCATCCATAATAAATAGCTAAATATTTTGGTACTTTAACCGATGTTAAAGCCAATATATTCAGAATACAAAGTGAAAACAGAATGAGAGGTTTAACAAACATTATTTTACAATATATTTGTCAAATCAATCTTAAATAAGACTTAAAAAAAAAAGAAATTAGTAATACACTGATAGCCAGCAAATGCTTTTTTCTTTTATCGAGACAACAATTACTAATACATTATAAAGTAACAGTAATTTCATGATAGAAAACATATCTTATATATGAAAGCAAGCGTCATATTTTCTTTCCCATAATGATTTTGATCTTTTACCTATATGCACTTACAACCAATAGAAAAACGAATCATATATGTACTTAGACAGATAAGTTTAATCAAGCATATCATTTACGTCTTTGTACATAAAAAACTTGCTGTTATTGTTATTTTTCTTTACTTTCAAACATATGTATTCGGAAAAACAAAGCACACACATGGAGATTCATTGACAATATCAAGAAAACAGTTACATCTATGATTACAGGTGCCTAGAAAAAAAGAGACAAAATAAATCGATCGATTGAAATGTAATAAATGTTTTTTTGCTCCTTCCTATGCATTGTCTTAGTAAAGGTATTAAATACAATGTTTGACTAGTGTGTAAAGAAGAATGAATCATTATTCTTTCGATCATTATAATGTTCAGTTCAATTCAATAATCATCTATGATTTCAATCACAATAATAATCATTGAGAATAATGTAGAAAGAAAAGTTGTCAGTGCGGCCCTTTCTGGGACCAAACTGTGATACTCACGAGCCCTGGGTGTTATAGATTTTGAATATTTTGTGAGAGCTTTTAAAATAACTTATTTTTATAAACTGTTGAATAAATGAATAATTCAAACTTATGACAGCTGTATTGTTGACAAGTGCCCTCTGAAATTTTATTATTTCGTCGATTTTCATATTTATCATTACTTTTCTACCAATTTATTTCATTTACTTAATATCGTTATACTATAAAAAATTATTTGTATTATTACACACATCTTCATGACTAGAATTTTGCTAAATTCTGTATGTCAATAAAAAAAGATCGNTGGCGTTGATAAACATGTCATTTTAACATTTAAAAACTTTTGGTACTTAGCACATTTATCAGCTTTTATTTTCCAATCTGTTAATGAAAGATAGTTTCCATTAGAAACTAAATAAGACTCAAGTAAATATGTATCGTTTGAATTAAGTGCAACATTAGTTCCAGCAAATACATCATCAGGATTCCATGCATTCATAATAACATTCATCTTTTTTGAATGACAATATTGAATCATATTCGATTGACGTTTTCGTGTCACACCATAATCATAACCAGCATCATCCCAAAATATACCCTTTATGAAATAGAATGAAAAATGGAATAAACTTAATTCGCAATTCTGAATTATATTCTTCTTACATTAGCACCCATTGCTGACCAACCATTAACAGCTTGTCGCATTTGTTTTATATTTAAGTTTTGTGTAGTAACACCGAGATCAACATATCCAAATACTTTTTTACCACGACGAATCAAATTCTTCATGATAGCTTTTGTTTTCACATGATCACCATGTGTAGTCTTCCAGATTCCATCACCAAAAACGATTAAACCAAATTGTCCAAACCAATTACTAGCTGCTGTTACATTACCTTGAGTATTTTCTACTAAAGATGGCCATCCATAATAAACAGCTAAATATTTTGGTACTTTAACCGATGGTAAAGATTTGTATTCAAAATACAAAGCGTGAAGAGTATGAAAATTTTAACAAACGTTATATTATAGTGTGTTGGTCAAATCGATCGTGAGTCATAATTAAAAAAAATTTAGTAATGCCCGGAAAGCTTGCAAACGTTTCTTTTTTTATTAACACAAGAATTATTAATACATTATAAAGTAAAAGTAATTTCATGGTACAAAAGATATCTTATCAATGAAAGCAAACGCCATATTGTCTTTCCCAAAATGATGCATGTTTTATCTTTGTACACCTACAATCAATGAAAAACAAAACAATGATTCATACACTTAGACGGATAAATTTAATCAAGCATATCATTTACTTTTTTCTACATAAAAACTTGTTGTTATTTTTTATTTTGATTTTATACTTTCAAACGTATACTTCTGGAAAAACGAAACACACATGAGGATGAATTGACAATTTCAAGAAAATAATTGCATCTATGATTTCAGGTGCTCAGAAGAAAAGACAAAACAAATCAATCGATTGTAGTGTGATCATTTTTTTAGTTCTTTCTTTACATTATCTTAGTACAGGTATTAAATGCAATGTTTGACTAGTGTGTGAAGGAAGAATGAATAATTATTCTTTCGATCATTATAATCTTCAATTCAATTCAATAATCATCTATGATTTCAATCACAATAATAATCATTGAGAATAATTTAAAAAGAAAAGTTGTCAGTACGGCCCTTTCTGGGACCAAACTGTGATACTCACGAACCCTGGGCGTTATAAATTTTTAATATTTTGTGAGAGCTTTTAAAATAACTTATTTTTAAAAAATGTCGAATAAATGAATAATTCAAACTTATGAGAGCTGTATTGTTGACAAGCGCCCGCTTAAAGTTTATTATTTCGCAGATTTTCACATTTATCATTACTTTTCTACCAATTTATTTCATTTACTTAATATCGTTATACTATAAAAAATTATTTGTATTATTACACACATCTTCATGACTAGAATTTTGCTAAATTCTGTATGTCAGTAAAAAAGGATCGCAGTGACGAAGAACTATAACAAAAGCGATTCCGTGTCATCATGCTAATATCTGCCATTTTTTTAGAATGCATGCTGCTCAACGCACAAATTTTGTTTGTTTTTTGCTTTGACGTGCATTTATTTCTCATTAAAATGAAATCACTCTCATATATCCGCACTATATTGACTGAAAATGCTTGTTCAGCTTTCAGAGATTTTCCTATAGTTATTAGTATTCATATTCAAAATTTCCTTATACATGTCAGATGATTATCACATCTTTCAGCCTCGGTTGCTATTCTAATGGAAGTAGATGACCGAATGGCGAAGAAATTCGTCCTATAAAGTAGAGTATGTATGTTCGAATTTTATTTGTGTATTACATGTGATTTGTTTGAGTGCTGTCACATATCCAAGATTTTGAAGAAGTGCTCACTTCTCCCACAGGAGATGCGGCATCCCCCGCGGGAGACGCGGCACTCACACTCGGGAGATGCGGTGATTTGCTGTTGGAGATGTATCATCTCATTGAGAGATGTACATCTCTTACATTGGGTGCTGCATCTCCCGCTGAAAATGCAGCATCTCCCGGCAGAGATGTGAGTACTTCTCCAAATTGCAGGATATGTGAAACTGCTGTGAATCATCAAAGTATCATAAGATATCAATCAAAAGGGTTCAATATCAGTGTTTATGGCTGACTTTTATTCTCTTTCGAATCTGAAAGTCAATTTCCAAACGTAAATCTTTTCCACTACTGAGTTGAGTAACTAATAGTCTATCAACAGTCTTACTGATTTATATCGAATTAGAATAAAACTAGATTATTGTGTTCACTCATTTAAGAGAAGTGAGTGACATATAAAATACTTTTTTCTGTTACCATAGATATTTTTTGAATTTATTTATTAGATTATGACAAAATGTTATTGGTTTCTACTAAAAAAATATAAATTGTAAAATGATAGAGAACTGAAATGTTGAGTATAAAGAATCAATTATTTTATCGCAGAAATATTAAGCATCTATAAGCAAAAAGTTTGTGCATTAAGTTTTTATTTATCCGTTAGCAATAAATGTACCATAACCCCATGATGCTCCATCACCAGCTATCTTCAATATCCATGATTCTGTCGAACGTGAAAAAGAATTGATAGTAGCATTCGACGATATTAAATCACTTTGCCAAAAACTTCCATAAGATGAACTTGGATTAGGAGTAAATGCTAGTGTATTATTACTAGAACTATATGTTATTTCAGTTGCTTGAAAATAATCAAAATTATACATAGCTGTACCAAACCATGCTTGTGTAAATTGATCATTTGTGTTTGGCGTTGATAAGCATGCCATTTNAAACCATAATCTGGATGTTTATCAAAATAATCTTTGACTAATTTCAATGATCGACTTCAATGACTAATTTGAGTTTTTTATTATTTTATCGATTTTGTCAAATGTTTTATAATCTGGTTGTTCTTGTTCATTATCTGGTCGAAATATTAGATCCAATTCAAATACCTTTGATCTACGTGCTGATACAATACATCCTGCACAATAATAACTAGTAAATGTAATTGGTTGATAAGATGATCCAATACAAAATGCAGGAGTTGCAGCGACATACGGGCAAACATCAGGAAAACCGGTGAAAAAGTTTTTAAGAAAAATCAGGAATAGAAAAGTTCATGTTGATCGTTTTCTTCAGTGCCAAATCTATATAAAAGTGGATGAAGCAATGCCGCTAGTTAAAGTTCAAACTAGAGATACAACGACGACGATGAATCAAAAGTTCACCGACCCATATCGGTAACCGATAACAAACAGTTATCATCACTGTTACGTCCCTAGCTCAAACATACGTTGCAGCAATAGGAGATACGCACTGCCCGTATGATGATGTCAAATTTGGTTCCTTAAGTGGTGGCCACACCTAAATCACATCAGCTATTACACTCTGTTACTATGAATTTTCTAAAATAGAATGTGCATTAAACGCTGTAAAGCTGAGAGAAGTGCTCTAATTATTGGAAGACTGAATGTTTATGAGATACGGTCAATTTATTGCTTCATTTTGATATTCATGAGTTACATTTGTCAATCAAATTCTCATGAATCTTCATTAAAAAGTATTCTGATAATGAAACGACTTAGCTAGTTTGAAACTTGATGAATTTAATTAGAACGAGCATTATATTAATATTCGCGAAAAGCTTCAATTTGCACAAATTTAACTGGAATTTAAGTTAAAATAAAAACGAACCTTGTATAATTAAATACAACGCCTGGCACATAACGAATGAGTCGACGTTGGTCTGACTTTCTGAGAATTTGAGAAATTGGAGCAAAATCGTTGTTAAATTGAAAAAAAAATGAGAAATAGTTTTATGCTCTGGATGAATATCTGTCTTTTCATATGCAAAAAAATGAAATGAAAATTGGCAAAAGAACCAATAGTGAAACCTGTAACCTTTTTTTCAACGTTTTCTCTGTCAGTCGACAGTGTTGAATTAATATCTTTTTTGGTTGGATGCATCTGTGAACATAATTTCCATTCTGTATTAGTAAATAACATGAATTGAGAACTTTGTTTATTTCGAAGTTCACCAATATAAAAACGAATATACTAGAAAATGAGATTTCCATTGACATCCATTTTTTAACTTATTCTGGACTGTTCTATAAAATGATTAGCTTTTTATTTTCTGTTCAACGTAGACTTTGATAAAGTTCTTCTGACAAATGTTGCCATCTTATATTATGTTCAGTAGGCACTGCATATTTTCTTTCTTAACTAAAAATAGTTTCATCAGTCGATGAGATGATTTGCTTTTTTCTTCCTTATTAGAGTTATTGTGTAACCATTTCAAAGAAATTTTTTCTACAAATTCAACTTTTTCAACCTAGAAATTCGCTTTGAACAACATAATCAGTCTTGTACAACGTTTTCATCTACAGATAAAGTTTTTGTCTTGACACATCAATCAATAAAAGTATTCAAACTTAACTATTAGAACCAGTTTTGTTGTACGCAGGAACATTATTGCTTTTTGTATGTCTTTCTATTTAGTTTGTTTGCATATCAAAACAATATCTTTTCGTCTATCGACTTTACATTGGTGCAAAGCAGAAAATTTTATCTTTTTTCTGTAAGAACGACTTTGTTAGAAACGTTTCACTACATTAAGAAACGCAGAACAAAAATAATTTATCCATTATGTATGTCTATATCTCGTGTAATTAAATGTTCATTCGTAGTATTTTCAACTCTATATTGCTGTTTCTACGAAACTGCTGGGAAATGAAACACTATCACCAAATATTCTAGCGAAACAAATATAAAAAAAAATTAAGAAAAAGTTCTCTACATGCCGTTAGATGCAACCGCGGAACTGTTCCATCCTCCTCGAATAAGAAAAGTGTGAAGCCACCACACACACTTTGAAAACTCAATTATTTGAATATGGCGAAAATGTAAACCGATTACGAAAAAGCATAAAAAAATAAGTGCCTGAAATAAATATTATTTGAACCTAATATTTCTTTTTTTTGTTTAAGAATATTCTATAAATATTTTTAAATGAATTTCAAAAAATAAACTGATCATAATAAAAAAAAAATCCATCATAATCATTTAGATATAGTCATATAGGAATAAATCAGGAAAGTAATACCACTGCGAGGCCTAAAACTGGCCAGGTACCTGAATACGTAACAGATAAGTATCGATTTACTTAGATGATTCTTAGCAGGGTATCCGATCAAGTTCCTGCGACATACTCATGACAGAGTACCTAAAGACATGCCCTGCTGACAATTGATCCGCTGCACAGGTACATTGAAGTCAATACATTTACTCGAGATACAATGGTCTCTTTCTTTCCTAAGATTCAAATACACTCTATTATGATATATTTATCGCGAGGACAACATTATTTTTCTCAGTTTGATATCACGAAGTGCTTGTCTACATGTGAAAAGATTTTTATTTCATAGAAAGACGCTTTTATGCAAAATACGAATCCATATATTCACTTAGCTTGTTTTTAGAATAATGAATTATTAATATTGCACTCTAATATCATTGTAAAAAAAATCGTTGTTTCCATTAAAAGAGCGCTAAAAACAAGTGTTTAAATATATAAAATAAAACCCATTATAATCTTGTTAAAAATAACGGTGATTGGAGAGAGAGAAACAAACCCATTCTCTCATGAAGATATGCGAACAATATTTTTAGATAACGTCTCAAGTAAAAAAAAAACGACGTGTCAATAAAAAGACAATGTGTAAGCGCGTTTTTTTTCTAAAGATTGACATTGAAACACTGTTTTATACAAAGTTTTTCTCATGGTTATTTAAAATTTGATTATTATTCTATTAATAATTAATACAATCCAGCTGTGAGGAGAAACTTGAGAACTCTGAAAAAGAATACAGCTTATAAAGTTAAATTCGCTCTATCAGATCAGATTATCTAGTATAATGTACAAAATTTCTTTTATCAGATATAGTTCTTTGAAAATATAATAATTCATAACAGTGATAAAATATCTAAAAATCCGCGATCAAAGTTTAAAGGATTGTATCCTATAAAAGATGATACATTGTATATAAGACTAAAAGATCTCATTCGATAGAACGTGTTCTGCTCTATAACCTGTACTATTTTTTTAACTTTTGAAATTCATTCTTAAAGCTCCATTGTCTTAATTGTTAAAAGAATAATAATCAAATTTTCAATAGTATTTGTAAAAAACTTCTTTTACAATGATTTATCACAAAAGAAAAAAAATACAGTTTAATTTAGTTTTTAATGCTCTTTCTAACGCTATACTTGAAAATGAAAAACTATTACAAAACTCTTCTGTTATTATTAATTAATAAAAACTATTAATTATTAATATTAAATGAGTATGACTGGTAATTTTTCTAAAATTTCTCTGTTTTCAATTTTGATAAAATAGGCAAAATACGTAGAACTGTTCTAGACTTTTGCTTGTTTGAGATACTGTGCGGCGTTTTCTCTTTATTCAACCTGTAATAAATTAGATCAAGAATAAATAGTTTATGTTGGTCTTCCCTCGGACTGCATTTAATACTTAAAAGATCTTTTACTCATTTACTTTCCGCAGAAAAGCATGAAAATAAAATGTGCCGTTAACTATTGCTATCCTCCTTATCTATTTTATTTCTAATCATATGTTCATGATCTATTTGGTTTGACCTCTATATTATAATGTGTCTTTATGTAAGCGTGGCATGCATAGTTGAGGCATTCTACACATACAGCTAAGAGGCATTAGTTTTGAAAAATGTATATAGACTCATTGTTAATCTTTTATTCATAACCATCACTTTGACTCTATATTTTACTTCAATTATGTATTCCATACTTTGACGTGTTTTGTATCCAATTGATGGCAGACGATGGTATAATTTATCTGTCTTTTAGCAAACCACCTGAAATTTTATTTCATAGTCTAATGATTAAGAAAAGCAATGTAATAAACATGAATCTGTTCATGGTAACAATGAATAATAATTAAGACATTAACAGAAACTAAATGATGTTGAATCTCTATAGGTGTTATCATGTGCAAAAATAAAAATTATTTTGTTTTTATGAATTCAACTTTTCTGTTAATGTACGCATATGTACGATCTATGTGTAAGAGAATCGAAATCGAAACTAATTTTGACATATTTTTTGTATTCCTAGCATGATCTTATTACTAATGAAAATAACACGATTGTGTGAGTTGAATTAAAAAAGTACAGAAATATAATTCTATATTTCATTTTCATCTATATCGAGTTTTCAATCCTTTGCAATAATAATATTCAGTAATTGTGATACATTCGTTTGTTTGATGTATAATCAATTGTATACGAAAATCATCAATGGTTTCAATAGATAAAGAACAATATAGATATCTTACAATGAAAATCACTCGTCTGACGCCATCTTAATTTTCCGATAAAAAAACTAGAATGTCGCCAGTTGATGGTAAATAACAAAAAAACATTCATAGTCTATCTTTCTTGTCGCTTTCGATGAATCATCATAGTGAGACTTCCGTCTGGGTTGAATGGCTGGTTGAATGTTCTTTCTATCTCTATTTAGTCGATGTTTATAAATGAGCAATGTGATTTGTTTAATATTGTTTATTTTTTTTTGTTCTAATAAAATTCTTCTAAAGAGAAAAAATTTTTTATATACAAAATAAAAATTATTACACTCATTCATAATCTTTAAAACAGCAAGAAAAAAAATGAAATATTTTAAAGTTATTAAACAATTATTTATTTATTTTTTTATCGAGATGTTTCCGTACTATCGAATATACATATATATTTTTTTGTGTTGTTTTTTTTGTTGTTTTTTTTTGTTCTTGAATAAATGACTCATAATGTTTTGTTCGATTTTATATTGTAATTTTATTTTAGATATATTCCCCTTAGTCCATTTTTATTTCGGGCGCATATCCATCGCCCCGTTTTTATAAACAAACTTAACTTTATCTCATAATCAATGACAGCTAAAGATAATTTTATTCAATCACCTTTACTTGATGGTAATAATGGTCAACAGTCAACAGAACCGTCTGATACAAACGAATTACAACAACAACAATTACCACCTGATTATATTAGTTCAACAATACAGGAGAATGAACCATCTGATGAGGTTGATGATGAACAATCATCAATACAAATAGATGATAATAGTATATATGATGAAAATGGTCAAATTAAATTTCCATTAAATGATTTAATTAAACTTGAAGAACAATTAAATCAAACAAGATGGGTTGTACCTGTTTTACCTGATGGTGAATTAATTAAATGTTTACGAGCTGTTGTTCGTCTTGCTGCACATAGTAAATATTTTCGAAAAAAAAAAAAAAAAAGAAATAAATTTGTTTTATTTTTCTTTTATAGAAATAGATACAAAGAGTGATTCATGTCAACGATTTATTCGAGATAGTCTTGTAAATTCTTTTACTAAAATTCTTTGTGATGAAGCTGTACAAACATGGAAACATGAAATATTTGTATGTAGACGAAAGACAAAAAAGAAAACAACAAAAGAAATTTTATTTGTCTTTTAGAAATATATTTATCAAAATTGTATGATTTTTATTGAATTATGTGTACTTAAAATAGAAGATGATTGTTTACCATTACTTGAAATTCTTGGTTTATTGATGAATCCTTCTTGCAGGTAAGAATTTATTCTTTTTAAATGAAATGATTTACTATAAGAGTTTCTTTTTGTTGTTGTTGTTTTATAGATACCATCAATCAAATCATAGTCGTTTAAGTGATTTACAATTAGCAGTTGATAAGGAAATATTTGCTTCATCAAATGAATTTCGTTTACCACAACGAGTAAGAATTTGAAAATAAAAATAAATAATTTTTGTTTTTCTTTTAAAAGGGTTGGTTAATTGATTTTATAAATCGATTTGGAGATTTAGGTGGATTTGATAAAATTTTAACTCGATTTTTATCATCGGAAACAAAATTAACAATATCTGTCGTTGTTGCTTTACTTAAACCTTGGGGTCTTTGCTATGAATATTTAACACAAGCAACTGTTAAAAAATATTTTGCACCCATTATTGTTAGTATTTTATTTATATTAAATTCATAGAGCAAAACAAAAAAATATATATTAAATTTGTTTCTTTTATTATTATTAGGAATTTGTTCCACAATTTCTTGATAAATTAACAGAAAATGATCTGAAAGTTGAAACTAAAACTGAACCAAAAAGTGATACATTATCAACGGTTATTAGATGGTTACGTTATTTGGCTTCACGTATACCAGATAATGAAAAAGAATGTCGAAATTTAGATGCACTTAGACTTAAAATGATTCTAAGGTAAAAATTTATTTTAAACATTTCTAATAAAATATTTGTGTACGAAAAAACAAGAAGAAATTTGGTCACTAGAGATATATAGTACGAAATATTTTTGATTTGAGTCTAGAAAAAACTATTTCAAAATTTATTTAGTTGACTACTAACACTTTTCTTGGTCAACCCTCTTAAATCATGTTTTGATTGATATGATGTATCAGAGAATTTACTTAAAACTATCGAATATTCAACTATAATCTTTAGTTTCAGTTGTGACGATTTGTTTGTCGTAGTCCCAATAATTGTTCAAATTTTGGACCTGTATTTCTCTAATTGTCATACAGGTTCTTTTTCAATTCAATTCAGTTTGGGCTAAAAACTTTTGTATATGAATCGAAAGGTTTCAAATGTCGTAACTTAATATTTCAGTGTGATGTAGAAAGATTGAAAAAAAAAAAGTGATGCGTCTAGTAAACACTTATTTTTGACGTCAGTAGTTTATTGTTTTTCTTATTATTCGGTCGATTTGTATCTGTAACTCATAGTTATAGTGATGAATAATACTTGAAAGAAATTAATTGAAAGAGTTGAAAAAAAAAAAAATACTATACAAACTAAGAGTTTATTAATTACAGCTGCAGTTGCTTTATCTTAACCGGATGTAGGTCTTCCGACATCCTCAGTTATTTATTTTAATAGCTCACGAAAGGAAAGATCTTTCCTCTTATCAGATGATTATATTTTCAAATTGAACAACAAGTAGAAAATATTTGAAATGTAGAGTTCCTACCAAATTTGAATGATCAATTGATTAAAATGATGAGTAATCATGGTTACCCTAGAAATAAGGAGAATTTGAAGTACGCGTACTTAAATTTTTTCTTATTTCTCTTCAGTCGTGTATGATTTCTGAGAATGTTTCGTTATAAAAACTGTATGTATGAGTGAGATTTAAAACTATGATCTTATAAGAACCTGATTATCAGGCTCTGTAAAAATTATGTAAAACTCACAATAGCATATTCTAGTTAGGTAAACATTAAATTTTATAGTAAGTTATTTGTACGACTTTCTAACGTCATACAGTATGAATCTTACGACATCTGATTGCCAGAAAGTTCTTGTCACCTGGGTGCAGTCAGAATTTTTTAAAGCACTTTTTTGATTTATTTCCAGTTTGATATTTTTTCTTTCTACGGCCAACCAATATTTCAGTCATGTTAAATAGAATTCAATAAAAATTGTAAGAATTCCATGAAAAAACGATAGTCCATATGATAACTGTCGCCGTTCTTTTTTCTTTCAAAGTGTCATATCAAAATGAGTGAATATATTTTACACCTGCTATAATTGACGAAATTGAATCGTTTTCGGATCACATGAATAATGTTGATGCGTCTGAGTCGCCTGTACTATCCACAGAGGCCAAATCGAACTCAGTTATGAGATAAATTTGTATTAGTAGAATATATTCTGAAACTATTGTCTCTTCGTGTAATTTGAACTTTTTCTAATAAATAATTCAATTTTGAGTAGAAAACACTATAATCGTTTATAACTGGAACCAAAAGTCGTATTCGCTTCCATTAGCCTTTAGGAGTACCGCAGTAGTACGAACAAACGTACAACATGGGAGATTCCTGGAACATGAATCTGATCATTCTTTTTATTTATATGTTCTGATATTAAGAATTTTAATAAGATTGATTAATTCAAATATTTTTTTTGTTTATTTTCTAGAATTCTCCAAACCAATTCTTTCAGTGGTAAAATGAATGCTCTCAATGAGGTAAACAAATTAATCATGAGTCTTAATACAATCCAACGTTCACCATTAAATCGATCAGAAGAACCCGAAAGTTTAACAGCTGAAAAATTAATCGTAAGAAAACTTGAAAATTAAACATAATTCATTTTTTTTCAATTATAATTTAATTTGTTTAGCAATGGATACAAGAAAATCAAGTACTTGATATTGTTTTACGTGATTGTTTACATCAACCACAATATGTTGAAAAATTAGAAAAAATTCTTCGTTTTATTATAAAAGAACAAGCATTAACTCGAATAGATTTAGATAAAATATGGAATTCATCATATGGAAAACATGAGGCTATTGAAAAAAATGTTCATGATTTACTTGCAAAATTAGCATGGGATTTTTCACCTGAACAACTTGAACATTTATTTGATTGTTTTCGAGTATTGAAAAAAAAGAAAAAAAGAAAATTTTTAAATATTAAATATGAATTTTTCTTTAGGAAAGTTGGACTAAAGCAAGTAAAAAACAACAAGAAAAATTACTTGAATTAATTCGTCGATTAGCTGAAGATGATAAAGAAGGTTTAATGGCAAATAAAGTTCTTGAATTATTATGGAATATAGCACATGATAAACATTTACCTAATGAAATTATTGATCAAGCATTAACAGCACATTTAAAAATACTTGATTATAGTTGTTTACAAGAAAAAGAAAAAACAAAATTATTATGGCTTGATAAATTTATGGATGAAGTTAAACATGATCGTGGTCATGTTATTATTTCATTAAAACAATTAAAAGAAATATGTATGCAATTCCATGAGGGTGTTTTTGCACAAAACATTCCACGTATGCCCGGTCCACAGAATCGTACTGGTGTTATTGATATATTAGAAAAAAAATATGAATTAACTCGTATTGTTACAGAAAATCTTTGTCAATATATGGATAATACGAGAAAATATAAAGAAGGTAAAATAGAATTTTAAACTTTTTCTTTTCAAATTACACAAGTTGCAGTGACCTATATGAAAAAAACAAGCAGAATAATTTCGTAGGAGGAATCAGGATATTGTAAAATCGATTTTTATTTTTTTCCATACAAGACAAACTCGACATATAGATAGAATAATAATAAATTTATGACATTTACTTTTCTAATAGTTACGCGCGTCACTAGATCGTCTTGAACTAGTTCCAAATCCGAAAAATTTGATCCTAACATGCTCTAGTCTTCTGAGAAATGCGTAGGATGCGCTCGTCACTGAATACAAAAAAAAGCGGAAAAAAGTATTTCCTCACTTTGGAATGACTATTCAATTCCGATTAGAAAATTTCATTGAGAGTATTAAAAGATCGATTCGATCCGACCCACTCTCTACACCATAATTATTCTCCGATACCAGCTCTAAGAAATTTATTAGCAAGAAAATAACGTATAGACATATTTTATTGAACTGTAGATTTTATTGTCACTCTTTTGCTTTTCATCGACATCTGCCAGCCTTTTATTTCTAAAAGTTGAAGATAGTTGTAGTAAAATATTGAGTGCATTCTATCATATACTCAAGTGGAAAAAAGTATGATACTTCGCAGTACTATAGTTTCACTTTTCTCTTCCTTGCATATACTTCAGTGAATATTACATATATATATATATATATATGCATAAATCTTTTCATGATAACAGCTTACTTCGTAGCATTTGGCTTTATTTCTAAATTGTTAGAAAAATAATATATCATTGATAACCCTGAAATTATTAAATGAATTACTTTGTTTATTTTTTTTCTAGAAGCTAAATCAATTATATTACCAGAAGAATATTATCCAGATGGTCGATTTAATCACAATCAACAAATTCATGAACGATTAAATTTTCTTAAGTAAAATTTTTTTATTTGAAATCAAACGAAAAAAAAAGAAACAATTTATAAATATATATTTTTCTTTTCTCAAGATTTACATTAAAAGAAGGACGAATGTATTTATCTGCTGAACATTCAAAAATAATATGGATATGTTTAGCTGAAGAAGCTGTTTTTCCAAATGATCGTGAACAATGTTTTCGTTGGTTTGCTGAAGTAAAAAAGATGAAATTTTAAATTAATTTGTATAAGAAAAAAAAATATTATTTAGATTATTGACGAAGATGATTTTGAACCTAAAGCAGCAAAAGAGTTTTTTCAAAATCATTTAATGAAACTTGAACCTCATCTTTTAACAGATCTTGGCATGAAGTAAGTTAAAATATTTCAAACTAATTGATATTAGTTTTTCACTGTTCGATATGAAGTTCAACGGATAAAGTCAGAAAAATAGCAAAGATTTTGCTAGAACTGTTGAAGTGTCTTTAAAAATACTGACATGAGTAGTATTTCAAGTCAAAAGGACAGAAGCGTGACTTCAATAGATTGAAGTACGGATGATATAGAAGCACGAGTGAAGTATCATACTTTGGAGTACTGACGTTGTCCTTGTTTCTTCTTGAATCAGATAGGTTGACAATATTAAAGTCAGGATTTTACTTGTTGTTCTACCGCTAGGCTTTTCTTGTTTTTCGAGATTGCACTTAAGTTTTGAGAGAACTTTTTCAACAGAGTTCACAATATAGATGAAAAAAATCCTAAAAGCATTTATGCGATTAGATCTTGCTCTTCTCAAGTTATGATTACTTTACTGAAATTTCAGCGTATTAGAAGACACATCGAATGAAAGAATTTCAATGTAACCAATTGTTCTCGAAAAATGAATGTGTTGCGAAAAGAGAGTTTTTTTTTTGTAAATCAGATATCTTTGGAGAAAAGCAATCATTTTCGTTGAAGCTTTTAGAATATGATAAACAATAACATAAGATCTACTTTTTGGAGTAAAATTTCAGATTGAAACTCGCAGATTCGATTTTACTCCTAATACATTGAAAAGTCAGTAAAATGATCATAAGTCGAGAAAAGAAATAGGATATCAGTTGAAAGTATTCACTCGTCAGATAAGAAACTCATGAGGAAACGCTTTGAACTGATCAATCGCTTTTGTAGTCAGACTCTGTACACAGAGTAGACCCCAGTGAGATATGGAGAACTCAGAGAAATAAGTCTTCTGTCCATAACTATAAGCATTATACTGGTACTTCAACGTGAGGTTTTTCCTATAGGAAAATCTATTTATTTAAGAGAATGTCATAGAAAGTTCAACCGAAAAGAATATCTCCTTCCTGAAACATGAAAGTTTAAAAAAATCAGGAAATTCTAGCATCTTTCGTGAAAAGTGACTGATTTTTTAAGTTTAAATATCTCAGGAAGGAAATCTTTTTTCGAGCTAAAACTTTCAGTGCATTCTCCTCAGATATAGATCTGTCTATGGACAAAATCTTAGATCGAAATATTATCATTCAATTTCTTGGTGTGTATCATGCTGTAGGCTAAAATTCCAGTAAAATGCCTATAACTTCTAATAAAGGTCTAAGAGGATTTATCATTCAGAGATTATTCATATCTCACTAAAATCTACATTATGTTTAGCGTCTGAATTCAAAAGCTATTGATGAGTTGAAAATGTTATCTCGTCAGTCGTATACTTATATTAAATGAATTTTTGTTCATTTTTGTTAAAAAAAAATTCGATAGTATATCATTGATATTTCTCTTGAACATATATTTAATTAACTTTTTTTTTTCTATCTTAAATATTTAGTTGTTTCGATCGTTTTTTTAAATCAGTCAATGCTCAATTAAATAAATTACAACAAAAACGTCGTTCAATACGTTTAATGAATGATGAAGATCTTGTTGGTATTGAATATCTATGGAAATTAATTTTAAATGCTTCAGATGAAGTTGCTGATCGTGGTATACAATTAATGAGAGAAATATATACAAATATAAGTCCACAATTAAAAACGGATGTTAAACGTATACATGAATCATTTATAAGTGATTGTTTTGAACGTTTACGTCCAGTATATGATAGTGTTAAATTAATGTATTCACATCAAGATTCTAAACAAGCCTATCAACATAAACTTAATTCATTAATACGAATATTAATTGTAGTTCGAGAATATTTAGCTGAATGTGATAATTCATATCATAAAGAACGGTCTTTTTTACCAATGTCAAGGTAATAAAAAGAAAGATAATTAAAAAGAATTTCAAATAAATGATTTTTTTTTTCAAGAGCATTTCGAGGTCGATCAATGATATTAATTATTCGTGTAAATACAGGTCAAAATCGAACAGATGATTTTGAACATGGATTTCATTCAAATGATACATGGGGACATATTCGAAGATTTATTCATAATCGGTATTAATCTTACATTTTTTCTTTTCATTTTGAAATTAAAAAAATTCTTATTTTCATATTTAGATATAAATCTTCTTATGGTATTATTGAATTATATCGTAATAATGAAATTATTTATTCAACTGATGATAATAAAACATTAGGGCAAACTGATGATCGAGATAGAATTGTATGTTAACTTTTTTTTCTATAAAAAAATAAACAATATTTGTTTTTTATTTAGTCGGTTACAGCACGATGGGTTCAACATCAAAATCATGGTGGTTCAAGTGGTGAAAGTAGTTCATCTGAATCCGAAATGAATAATAATAATAATAATTCTTTAACATCATCTCATCATAATCGAAGTCTAGATTATATCGATATGAATGCAGAAACTTCTTTGCCATCTGTGGTAAGACTAAATTTCTTTATTTTTTTATTCTTTCGAGTTTAATTAAAAAAAATAAACTCACTTATAACTTTGAATACAAAAACATATTATTTCATCTAGATATTATCTCAAAACCATGAATATTATCAATTTCTTATTGATATTGCTGATTTGGCTTGTAAGGAAGGTAATACTCGTCTTCGCGATACAGCTCGTCAAATTCTTGATTTAATTCCACTTGATTTATATTCAACAAAAACACTTAATAGTTGTTTTACATTATTAACAACAAATAATGAACAGCCAAGTGCTGAAGAATGTTTAAATCGTTTAAATAATTTTTATTTTAATGTTTCACCATCACAAATGCTTTATAATCTTAAAGCAACATTAATTAATTTTTTACCAGCACATATACATCAAATATGTTTACAAAATAATAATAATGTTGAAGGTTTACATGTACGATTTTTAAATGCTGGTGGTTTATCATGTTTATTAAATATTTTAAGTGAAAAACATTATACTGATCAATGTGATATATCAACAAGAAAATCAATTTATTTTATTGTACTTTATCTTCTTAAACGTCTTTTAATCATAATTGCTATATATCAATTACGTTTAACGAATTCAAATAATCCATCACCATTTAATGAATCATTAGAACAAATATTAAATATAACACCAACAATACCATTACCAATAATGAATGTTGTTGGTGAACAACAACATGTATCTATGTCAGTTGAACAAAAAATAGCAGCAACATTAATAGCTCATCGAGCAGATTATCCTATATTAAAAAATTCTTTATTACAATATAATCATATTAGAGAATTAATACGTCTTATTTGGTGTTTAGCATCAGATCCAAAACAAAATTCATTTGAAATAAATTTAAAAAATGATTTTATTGTTATACATCAGTCATTTAAACAAGACAATGTAAGTTTTTTTTTTTTGTGTAGGGCTATAAATTTCAAGCGAAATAAAACTTTAGAATTTGAACTTGAAAGTTTCCTTATATAGAGGTACCAAAGGGATTAACTTGTAGAAAAAAACTTCAGAAATTTTCCACTAAAATCATTTTGCGAAGGTACTAATCTGATCTTAACTGATAAAGTTTCATTCATTTTAAATACTTTCGAGTAGGTCAGATATGAACAAACATTTTATCTAGATGCTTTCACACTACCTATTAGAATGACGTAAGAATTGTTTAACTTAATATGATTACGAATGTTTTGTATCAAATATAAGTTAACTATTCTTTGATGTATTTTATTCATTCATTTTCTCTCTTCTTGCCCTTTCGTCGGGTCGGTGTTTAAGCTCGTTCAAGAATGATTTTTCATCTGTTTTGATCTTTCGCTACATGTTACCCTTCATTCCATTCAAACTCTAAACGTTCCTGACAGAGTTTGTCAATGTGTTTGTGCCAACGGATTCGTCGACATCCGACAGACCTTTTTTTCTACAGGTATGTCTTCAAATATTTGATAGGAAAGTCATTCATGTGACATTCTCAAGACATATATCAGTGATTGTAGTTGTGATCGTTCGATTTAAAGAAATAGAAGTACAATTCGTAGCGTTTTTCGTATGTTCGAACTGCGAATTTTGTCTTGGAGTATCCAATCAACTGCTTTTCACAAGAATCTCATATCAACCGTTTCTATTCGAAATCTAATTTTCTGAGTTTAACTCTGTCTTTGCCACAGCTGTGCCATGGACCGAACGTAAAACACAATTGACTGCATCAATTCGTCTATCAATTTTGCCGTCTTGTTTTTCCATCATTTGAGAATTAAATCCTAGATACTTGAAATTGTCAATCCGATTCAACAAAGTATCATTTACACAAAGAGCACACTACTCAAGTTGTCTTGAGAGAATCAATTATTTCAGTTTTCATCACATTAATCATCATGCCTAGAGAAGAACATTTCTTTCAAGAAAATTTTCTTTTGTTTAGTTCAATTCAAATGATACCTTTATTATAAATGATGATAATGAAGAAGATGATGAAAGTCAATTAGCATGTCGTGAAGGATTAGAATTATTATCTATATCTTTAGCTCTTGTACCATCAAGTGTTGAAAATTTATTAAAAGAAAATTTTTTCGAATATTTTTTTATTGATTTAATACTTTATTGTCCATATCAAATAATTCGTCATACATCATCGGAACAAATTTTTTTATTAACATCACGTTGTTCTCAAGGACAATGTGAAAATTTAATACAATTTTTTCTTCAAAAACAATTTCAATTATTAAATAAATCTTCAGATAATTTTAAAAATTATTCATTACAATCATCAGACTTTTTTCTTTTATTATGTCGTTTATTATCATATGCTTATTCACGTAGTATATCACCACCGAATATATATCAACAATTAAATGATGAAATTTCATATTTAAAACAAATAACATTACCTGTTGATGATCATTTACTTCGTGGACATATAAATATTGCTAAAGAATTATTACAATTTAAAACAAGTGAACGCAAACGTTATTATGGTATTGATCAATTACTTATACAACAAATTATTGAACAATATCTTTTTCCAGCATCAACATTACTTTATAATTTTCGTTTATTAAGACGAAAACGTCTTTCAAAACAATCAATTAATAATAATGATAATTCAATTAATAATAATGATGATGAAGATAATGAACTTGATTTACTTAAAGAACCACCTGTTGCTATTTGTCAAACACCTATGTCAACATTAGCTGCATTTGATTTATTAGTTGTATTAGGTACAAATTGTATTGAAAATTTAAAATTAATTGATAAATATATTACTGATTTATTTTATACAGGTAAGATTATCTTTTATTCATAAACACTTAAATAATCAAATTATCTAACGAGAGAACTCTTACAACTTGTTGTTGAGTCGAGAATATGTGAATCGAAATCAGCTATAAATATTTTGCAAAGAGTTCATGTAGTTAGCATATTGCTGCAAAGATACTGTACTAGTTGACTTCATGCCATAACTAGAGTCTAAATTTTTGGACCTGATGGACAATAGTAGTTTGAGAAATGTGTAAGATGTAAAGGAAACCGGAAAACAGTATCTCATATCTTCGGAGTAACATCAAGTTCCAATTAGAAATTTCAAAAAACAGTTTCATGAAAAAAAAAAGATCATTTCCAATAGAAAATCCCTGAGAGGAGCCATTACCCTAAGCTCCTGTGAAAAAAAAACAATTATTTTTAAAATTGACAAATGGTACATCCTGCACTGCAGTTTTTCATACTGATTTCAAATATCTCTTTATTTTGATATCGAAATGCTTCTATGAAAAACTAATTGCGAAAAGTTCTTTAAAAACTTATGTCGGATTAGTAGAAAAACTCTTTTGATTTTTCACAAAAAAAATGACTTTTTTCTCTAAAGGTGCTGAGTTTGCAACTGAACTTTTCCAAATAAATTTAATAGCTGGAATAGCAAATTCTTTTATCAAAAAAAATAGTCGTTTATCAAATTGTATAAATTACTATTCAAATCTCTAAATTATCAGTGTGAAAAAGTAAAACTTCAAGATCTCATTAATTGTCACGTCTAATTATCCGACCCGATTGCATGACACTAGTACATAATAAATATATTAGATAGAAAGGTTTTAATTGAAGAATATAATAACTATCGAGAAATGTTTACTTATTTAATTGTTTTACTTTTAGTACCTGACTCTAGTCTGAATGAATGGGATTTTGCTCCACTTGTTGGTCCACGTCCAAATCGAGGTTTTGTTGGTTTAAAAAATGGTGGAGCAACATGTTATATGAATTCTGTTCTTCAACAATTGTTTATGATTCGATCATTACGTACGGCATTATTATCAGTTAAAATTCCACCAGGATATGGTGATGATGAAACTGATGATGATGATCAACGTCGAGATACTGTATGTTAAATATTATAAAACTTTTTTTTTTTTTTATTTATATTTATTATTTTTATTTTTATTTAGTTTGATTCATTTTCGGAAGGAAAACTATTTCATAAAGATAATTATGCAATAACATCACCAAATAAACAACAAGAACAAAATAGTAATATGGATATATCACCAAAAGATTCAACAAATGAACGAAATGAATATAATATACAAATGTTTCGTCATATACAATGGATATTTGGACATTTACTTGAATCAAAATTACAATATTATGTTCCAAGAGGTTTTTGGAAAATATTTAAGTATGTCTTAAGAACAAAATCCAAAAAGACAATGAATACATTTTTAAAATAAATTGTTTTTTTTTTGATTGAATAGATTTTCAGGTGAACCGGTGAATTTACGTGATCAACATGATGCCGTCGAATTTTTAAATACAGTTGTTGATAGTGTTGATGAAGCATTAAAAACATTAAATCTACCACAAATATGTTCGAAAGTATTAGGTGGAACATTTGCTGATCAAAAAATTTGTAAAGATTGTCCACATAGGTAATATTCGATTTTAAAAATAAATCATTACATTTTTTAAATTATTATTATTTTCTTTTTCTTTTTTAAGATATTCACGTGAAGAAGATTTTACATTATTAAGTGTTGATATTCGTCATAGTCAAAATTTAAAAGAATCTCTTGAACAGTATGTTATAGGTGAATTACTCGATGGACCTAATGCGTATTTTTGTGAAAAATGCAATAAAAAAGTAAAATATATAATTTGTTAGTTATTCATTTAAAAATTAATTATTTTATTTAAGGTTGATACAATAAAACGAACTTGTTTTAAAAAATTACCACCTATTCTAGCTATTCAACTTAAACGATTTGATTATGATTGGGAACGTGAAACACCGATTAAATTTAATGATTACTTTGAATTTCCAAGAGAATTGGATATGGAACCATATACAGTTCAAGGTCTTGCAAAAGCAGAAGGTAAATTAAGATCTTAATTAATAGAAAAAATTATTAGATATTCTATTGATTTGAGTTTCATATGAAAATACTATTCATTATTGGTCTTTGTTTGACTTCATATACTTGCAAATACTAAGAATTCATAGAATACATTGAGTATTAAAATTTGAAGATCATATATTAAATGAGTTCGTTAATTCATATTGCTTAGAAACATATACGTATAGACTGATGATAAACGCATGATAAAACTATCGTGGTGTTGGATTGATTTCGATTTTCTCGTTCAAGGACAGTTTAGTTCTCACAACTAGAGATATAAACCGATTGGCTGAGCCACTCACTTTAATTTTTTTAAATTTCTGATATTCTAAGTTAGTTTTTGAAGATGTCTTGTTCTGATTTCTTTTCGAAGTTAAGAAAGATTTTAAAATTTCAGCCGCTGCCAACAAATGCGTTCGCTTACACGCCTACTCATGGTTTAGTTATATTTTATAAAATTTTGAAATAAATCCCTCCCGTCGACTGACAAAGTCGAAATGAATCTAAGATCGTCATAGTTTTACTTTGCATTCAATCTAAAACCGATGCATCATAGGTACGATGGATAAGTGCAATATTGCGGTTACGGAGTTTTGTTCCATTTCCTTTAAATATGAGTTAAAGATTTATCATAATTTGTAATCGGAAAGTAATTAGACAAAAAGGCCATTCAGTTTTTAGCATTGTACAGGAGCCTGGAAAAATTTGAAAAGATTGAGTTAGAATAGTCTTTCTTACTGCATACGTTATATTACCGACTTTTTGCATAGAGTTAAAAGCGATTTTGTTCTCTATAATTATTCAAACAATTTTTCTAAATTATTATCGATATACTTATACGATCTTTTTAATTAGGCATGCCGGTTATTGATGAGAGTGCCGATGATAATCTAAAATTGATCAATACCAATAATAATGGTGATACTCGTTATAAACTAGTAGGCATTATTGTACACAGTGGACAAGCTAATGGTGGTCATTATTATTCATTTGTACAGAATAAGTAAGTTTTGCTTTTTGTTTTGGTTATTTTAAAGAAAAACAAAAATTTTTTTTTTTTCGTAAATCAATTCAGAGAAGAATCAAATTCTTCTGATCTTCCACATTGGTATAAATTTGATGATACAGATGTAAATGATTGCAAAATGGATGAAGATGAAGAACTTCGATCACAATGTTTTGGTGGAGATTATCCAGCACAATCATTCGATCAACCAGTTATGAAACGGTATTTTTATTTCATTTAATTTATTATTGTTTGCTCTATAAATATTCTTTTTTTTTTTCTTAGACAACGTCGATGGTGGAATGCATATATATTATTCTATGAGAAAATATCTAATGATGAATCAAATTCAGAAAATAGTCTTGAAAAACATTTATCTAAATTACAACTTTGTATAATTATTTATTTTTCGTATTTGTTTTTTTTCAATTTATATATAAATGTTTTAATAGATGATCAAACACAACGTATGCCATTATCTGTTCAACGTAGTGTTCGAAAACAAAATATAAAATTTCTTCATAATCGAATACATTTCAGTCCGGAATATTTTCATTTTATGAAACGACTTGTACAAAGTAATGTACAAGTTATTGTTACTTTCTATCAACAACAACAACAACATGGAGATAAAATATCTTCTAATAATGTATGAAGATTTTTCTCGAAAGAAATTTCTAAAAAAAAAGAAAATTATTTATTTTTTGTTTTTGAATAGACAATTGAAACTATTGAAGAATTAGCTTTAGTAAGTGTTCAAATAGCTACGAAATTTCTTTTTTCTGTTGGATGGCGAACAAAAAAAGCTTTACGGTTTGTTTTAAGAAATCAAGTTGTTATTTTTTCGATATTTAAATATGTTGTTTGTTTCTTTTTTTTACTAGTGGTCCTGCAAATGATTGGACTGAATTAATAATACATTGTATTCGATGGTCACGAAAAGCTCGATATTATCTAGCTGAAGAAGTTTTATTTAAATATCCAAATCGTTTTCAAGAATATCTTATTGATTGTACATCAGCTGAGGTAAATTTTTCTTTTTCTTTTTTTTGGTGGGTTTTTAATGAATTTTCGAAATCAATAGATTCGTAATGCATTTGGTAAAATGCTTGTTGCACTTGCTAGTCATTCACGTCAAGATGAACAAACAACGAATATGCCAACAGGTAATTTATACTTCAAAATAAAAGAAAAAGTCATTTATTTTGTATTTTCAAATGTTGATTTCTATTTAGATGATATTAAAAATTATCTAACAGTTGAAGAATCTATTCTTAATCATGTTTTACGTTTACTAAAAAAGGAAATGCCTGATAATGTTAAAATGCTTACACAATATTTTCAATTTTTTGTTAATTATTCATCAATAGGTCGTCACGAAGTAAGTTATTATTATTTAAAACTAGATATAATCGTTCATAAGTAAAGTTAATTAGTAGATAGAATTGCTTATTGTTAAAATGTGAGACATGATTTATCTATTATTGCTAATCATAGGGATATTATTTTGAGACAACCTTCTTTCATCATCGTTTTACTTTATTCTTCAGAAATGTAATACAGATATGTCAACAACGTTTGTCACAGCCTGTGGTAGTCCAAGTTTTTTAATTATATATTACTAAAATCGTAAAAGGTCCCAGTAAATGCCGTAGAATTTTACTACAGGATAAATTTTGGTTCTTTGGTTAGTGAATTAAAGTTATGTGCCGGTCAATATGATGGAGTACGGATTGGCAAAGTAATTCGAATTCATCTTTACTACGCATTATTACAGCTTTCTGTAGAAATGTGCGGGTGGCACAATTATAAAAAAACTTGTAAGGTGACTCAGCACTCTTCAATATGCCTACAGAAGGGGCTCACGCTTCTTCTTCAGTGGAACTGGACCGTTTGTTAGGAAGACAGAGGTTGAGCTTACTCTAGCGTCTGTTTGATGGCGCCACTAAAGTATACAAAAGTTAATAAGGAAACGTTTCTAGATGTGAGATCGCTTTGAAGTCGAGACTAGGTGCATCATGTAAGTTCTAATGAGTTATAAATACCTTGAAAAGAGTTTGAGTTGATGGGCTTATTGCTACTGAGATACTGTATTTTTACTGTATTTTTTAGCACGATGTTGTGATATACCACGGAACCATCAAGAAACTAGAGTTTCAAATGTTGACTTGAAACTTTGTTTAGAGACAAGCCTTCAAAAAATTAGCTTATTCTGAAAGTTTCAGATCTTTTGATTGCGCTCATTTTGAAAATAAGAACATCGAAATTTGCCTTTATATATAAGCGACGTGAAAAAGATGCTTTTACCAGAGTCGTATCTTAGGATAGAAACAATCAAAAGATGTGAAACTTTTACAAACAACTATTCTCATTAAAGTTTGTAATTTTACGTCGAAATTCGAATCTCAGTTTTTTTAATGTTTCTGAAGAAGATCACGGCACTGCTAAAATCCCATATGACACACATGGGCCTGACTCAAAAGCAATTTGATCCGTAGAATGTAGACGTGTAACAAGATTGAGATTCTTGTCATTCATCTCTATTAGAGGTTGAAAAACTTGGTTTCAGGATAAACCTAATCAGACAGTCTTACTATCTAATTGAGTGAAAAACTGAGTGAACACGAAAAATATTTTAAGTCCGCTTAGGAAATTCGACTTATAAATGAAATTAATTGAAGACATTTCTACCTTTTACAGACGTGAGGAAAACTATATAGCAATTTTTTTCTAAATGATTTTTCTTCAAGTGTGAACAATTAATACGTCTGAATGTTCCAACATTATTTGTTAATTTGGCTAATGATGATAATACATCATCATGTTCAACATTACCACGTTATGGTGAACCAGCTAAATTATTTGTAATACTTTCAACATTAATTCGTTGTTTCGATGTTTCCACGTATTGTAAACCACGTCAAGTAAATATTTATAAATTAATTTAAATAATAAAAATTCTTTTATGTAATAATTTTAGCCCGATACTGAATTATTACCAAATCCATATTATACACATGATAATGGTCCAATATGTTCAATGCCACAACAACTGGCTGATATGATCTATAAAAGAGATATATTTTTAAAAAAAATTATTGAAGATTCAGGTTCATGTGAAGAATCACTTCGGCTTCTTCGTTTTCTTCTTTGGGAAAATCCTGATATAACATCAATCGTTCTCAACGAAATAATCACTTTAGTAAATTTCAAATAATTAAAACAAAAAAAAAAGAAAACAAACAACAACAATTCTTTATTTTTTTTGTTTAGCTTGCCATGTATCATACATATGATTTTCGTGGACATCTTGATGTACTTTATATGGTACTTACAATTGAAGATTCTTGGCAAGAAGTACGATTATTATATACAATAAAAGGTATACCAATGCCAAATGTTAATAATTTACCGGCAACAACGACAACGAATTGTGGATATGAATCAACTCCTCAAAGTTTATTCGATATGTTTTCAAAATCGAAATCAACTTATCAAAAGAAAGCATATCATTGTATTAAAACACTTGTACAATTATTTTCAAAGTAAATTATTAATATTTTGAAAAGAATTTTATGTATTTGTTTTTTAATTTAATCTAGTTGTCAAAAAGCTCATCATATATTAAAAACTGATACAGATATAAAACAACGATGGTCACAAGCTGTTCGTTGGTTACATGAACAATTAGAAGTAAGAAAAATTTTATTAATTTATTTTCTTCCTAAAATTTTTCTTCTATTTTAATAGCGATCATATAATAATATACCATCAAATTATCCTTATTATCCATCACAAGGACCAGTTACCAGCAACGATATGTCACAAGGGTAAAACAATATGAAATAAAGTGAAGGCAAAAAGCTTAGAAACCAAGTATTTTTAATCTTTTTCCTCAATGATAACAGCTAAAGCAAATTGGAGAAAAGATTTAATATTTTCTATCATGAGAGATACAGATCAAATTCCTATTAACGGTTATGGGTAAAAGGTCTCTATAACACTAGTTTTCTGGATTCTATCAAAAACATGTTGCAAATATTCTGAATAAAATAAGATGTTCCTGAACCCTCTATGATCTATTTTCATCGAACTGCATTCATTCTGCAAAAGACTCCAAAATGTAAAACACAATAAAGTCATATCTTGTTTTAAAGTGTACAGCTTAATAATCTATAAATAATTAGATAGAGAAAGTCTTTCTTTAGAAGTCTACATATATCCCATTCTGTAGTAAAAATGTTATGATCAGCTTTATATGAATTTTTTGTGTTTTACATGTTAGTTTCTTTCGTAGAATGAGTTCTGTTCGATGAAGATAGATCGTATAGAGAGTTCGAGGATATCTTATTTTGCTCAGAATTGTTCTTCTCTGTTAGATGAACATGGTTGCAAAATGTTTTTCGAAGACTTTGGTTTTCCAGAGATCTCTCGCTCAAACCTGTTAATGGAAACTTGACATAAACCTCCTCTGATAGAAAACCGTTTTGGCTAATCAAAATTTTTCTTCATTTTGTTCTAAGTGTTATAGTTAAATTAAAAAGTCAAAAATATTTCGTTGCTAAACTTTTTGCCTTCAGTTTTTTTATTTAATAAAAAAACCAAAATTCTCTTTTTTCCTTTTTAAAGTTACTTTATTGAACGAACTCAAAGTGCTCGATCATTACTTGATAAAGCTGTTGAATTATATCCGGAAATGGTAATTAATATAAATAAATAAGAACACACATAAAATTAAGTTTCTTGTTTGTTTCTTCTTAGGAAAATGAGGATGTTGGTTCAAATAGTGATGATCTTGAAGATGATGAACCAATGGAAAATATATCTCCTAATGTTGTTATAAAAAATGTCGCTAGTAATGTACCATCAAAAATGACTCCAACACCACGACGACCAAATTCCCCATCGATTGTTAATAGTGGATTAAATCAACGAATATCACCAGCACCAACAACACCAATACAACAAAATAAAACTATGCATCATCATCAACCACGATCATAAAAACGGATTTTGCAACATTTTCACTCTATGTTCTGTTTTAACAGTGTGTGTGTGCCTTTTTCTTTTTTTCTTTTTTCGAGAGTAAACCAGTCCGGTTGATTATCTATGATTCTGATCTGGTTACTACAAATTCTTTGCCCATTATTAGCTGCTTGGCAGAAGGCATTTGTATCCGGACAAAGTCTACCTATTCTCGTATATATATGTATGTGTGTGCAGAGTAGAAATTTTTAGAAAAGAAAAACGAAACGCATCATATAAAACAACAGATCTTATTATTATTTATTTCTGTGCTGTAAAATTATGTATGTTCATTTTTCTACTTTTATTTTCTTCTTCTTCTTAGGTTCGTATCTTCGGAAAAAAAAAATAAACAAAAAAAACAAGAATATCCACAGGGTCGTGTTTTCCTTTTTTTCTTTCTTCTTCGTATGAAAACTGATGGTTTTTTTTTTCTTTGTCTGTGTATGTGTGTATACTTCGATGTTTCTCTTATGTGTATATCTACGTCTCTTCTTGTTTGTTCGATTCATAAACAGGTCAATTGCATGAAGAGTATTTTGACGATTAAGATGATGATGTTGACCTATTTCACTCACATGTGGCTCTTTTCTTTTCTTTATTACGTGTTTATCACCATTACTATCACAGCTGTATTTTCTCCTTTTCTTTCTTCTTTCTTTCGTTCGTTTTTTTAACTCTGCAAAAGAGAGCGCATGCGCGTCAGAAACAGAATAAAGTGAATATATTTTCAACAAAAAAATAAAAAAATAACTAAGATGCACAAAGTATGTGATGCAAAACTGAGTCTCATCTAAAGTGATTTTTTATGTACTAGTAAGTAGTGTTAACTAAATATATATCTTCGAAATCGATTTGAAACTTTGCATTCTCTTGGGAAAATATATTCCCTCTGACAATCTAACGAACTTTTTATAGGTCACTACAAGAGAAAATTTCATGACAATAGTATTTGACAAGTTTTCTATATGTAAGCGTGCTAAATTATTTAGACTATGTTAAATCAATAATAATGTTTGATATCTTAGCTGTATCTTGATGAAACTATGGCAAATAAAAACCTAACGAGGGAACATCTTCCACTGTTGAACGTCGTTCAGCTTCATATTATGGCTACAAATAGGTTCTAGTGAGATTAAGTAATGGTTAACGGAGATATTCCAGTTCAAGACTATCCGATAAAGGGTTATGGTCGTCTTAATGCAATGTGTACTGAAAGCAAGATATTTTCAAAAACTCGAAAACAAAGAGGGAGTGGATGAAGACAAGATCCATATTCTTAGACATAGTTGAAGCTAACAGCAGATTCAAGTGATATTAGCAGCGATTCATCTGGAAGCATGTTCCAAAGCTCTCCTTCCGTGCTGCAGGTACAACTCGACGAGCCCTATTGAATGGTATAAGAAGATTTCCAGTAACCTAAACCATATTTCGAAAAGTCACAAAATACTGGCATTTCACTAAAATTAATATGAAACCAGAAGAGTGAATCCAGTAGCAAGTCGTCTAGGCACGTGTTTCAGAGTCTTTTTTTCATGTTCCAAATACAACTTCACGAGTTTTCTCTAATGATATTATTAGGTTTCCAATAACAACCCAAACTTTGTCTCCACAAATTGCTTAATACTGTTTGCTATCTTTAAAAGTCTTTTAACACATATAGTAAAACTAGTTCATATTTACCTAGGTGAGTGTGTGGGTGTAGGTGTGTGATGAGAAGAGCAACACCTACTCTGAAAAAAACACTGGAGTTTTTCAGAACCTTTTCATGGGTTCAGCTATTGGGTAAAATGCAGAACCCTCGAAATGATTTTGATTGAAATCGAATTCGATGGAGAAATCACAAAATCATTTCGGTTTTTTCGTCAAAATGGTTCTGCCCTGCGTTTAAATTATCACGATATTTAAATAGTTTATCATCATAGGTTCCTCGGTTGAACCATTATGCTTTGCATCTGAAAGGCAGTTCAATATATCAGTGCCACATTTTATACTCTTACAACGGTTCCCTTATATCTATATTTTTATACCTATACGCTAATGGCTATGTCCATTCATTTATACCCGTACACCTATAGTCCTATACATATATCTTTCTCACTATACCCTTATTGATATTCACTTGCAACTACACGCTTACGACTATGTCCTTATACTTATAGTCATTTCACTAAACACTCTAACGCATTTGTGACATGCAGATTAAACCATATATGTTGGGTAGCAGTTACGAATTATGTGGTTGAATCAATTTACTGTATTTGATGTTCTATGAAGTCATTAGAGATCATTGACATTAACGACTGTTGAGACATCTCGTTTATGATTACTTTAAACGATCACTGTACATGGTTGTTGCTTTCCGGCGTTTTCGATCAAGACACACTGCGAATGATTGATCCGGATAAGGATTTTGTACGTGTTATTTACTATTGTTAAACAAATATACAAGAAGTTCCTCCTGCCATATATTATTAATAAAATAGCATAGGCAAAAAAACGACTATAAAATTTATGTGAAAGGGATTAAAAAATATACAAATCTATCTAAATAGGATGTTCAGAAACTCATTCGCAAACGAATAATTTGAATACCTTTACTGTACTTCAATGACATGAGCTGATTTTTTTTCTGAAAACATAGAACAGTTTTTATTTTTTTCATCAATGAACAGTGCATTCATCCACATAAACTAGCAAACTTTCGTTCATTATATCATTGAACAAAGCACAAACGTTTTTTTACTCATGGCTATTGGTCGAAATTGTATAATATTCTTTTATCTATTTTGTCAAACAGTATAGCTGCGTATAACTGCAACAATACTAGTATGAAAGAAATTGTCCTTCACTGTTCAAGCAACCATGAAAACGTTGGACAATAATGATTAAACTTAGCGGGTGATTTAGTTTTTAACACAAAATCACAATACCAGAACTAGTTACATGTGGTAAATAAATCTTCATTGGAGCTGTTTAGTGGTATAGTAGACAAAGATTTTCTGCTTTTATGTGTATGAAAGCACTATCCACGAATCATTAAAACCTTGAAACTGTTCTTTATCCTCAGAAAAAAATCAGCTCATTTCATTAAAGCATAATGAATATATTAAAATCTTTCTTTGGCCAATGATTTTTGGACACTATATACGTGAAGAGACCTATCCTGGTGCAAAAGAATGGAAACGTTTGGGTGTGTTGCTAATTAAATTTGAACGATTTGACAAAGCCAAAGAGATATATGATATTCTGCTTGATCCAGCAGCGATCTATGAGGAAGCAGCATATATTTATCACCAGCTCGGAATGATGAGGTTGTATCAAGATGAATATGCAGATATCATCGCTTATTACAAGCAAGCTACTGAAATCGCACAGAAGATTTTTTCACCAACGGATGTCCAATTGACTATTTCTTACATCAGCCTTGGTAGGGCGTACCACAAGATGGGTAACTACTTGAATGCACTTTCATCTCATCGAAAAGCACGGAATATTAGCAAAAACACTCTTTGTTCAAGTCATCCTGATTTTGCTCACCCTTACAACAACATTGGGTCGGTGTATGACAATATGCGCGAACATTCGAATGCATTTTCATTTTTTGAATGTAGTATTTATTTGAGAAATAAAATAAGATATGTTCAAATTCAATTCCTTATCTTTGTACTACCTTCGGGAAATTTCAAAAATGATTTTTTTTCTTCTTTTTTTAAACTCCAATGCTCTTTATAAACAATATTCTCAATTGATTACCTAAAACAAATCAATAAATGAAAATTCAATAGAAGAAAAAATCAAATTTAAATATGTGCATGATTACTGATTCCTACGCCACGCCATTGATATTTCTACTATGTCAAATTTTGGAGCATCTATACAGATAGACTATGAAATGAAGCGAACTTTTACGAATGTCACCTGGTCAAAATTACTTGGTCAATTTCTAGTTTCACGTTTAAAAAAAAAGAATCATATTTTTCCCAATCTTTCCAATCTCTTTTTCAAGCAAATTTCGTTTAGAATTAATTTTGAATAAATAACAATAGAAACATCTAAAATATGTCCCTGAGATGCTACTGATGGCTCACGCATTCCTGAAGTTAAATATTCAAGAAAAGTATTAAGTATCGAGATTTCTTGATGAAATTGTTGCTATTAAAAAGGTTCTGGTCATACTAATCATTATTCTACGTAATTCCTATATATATATGCACATTAGTTTTTCGAATACTGAAAAATTTCAAATCTTCGATTTCATTCTTGTTAACACTATTTTCCCTATTTCTTTCTCTTAAAATTATATTTTCTAATGCATTCTGAATTTTTATTTTTTGATTTAAACTTTTGTCATACAAAGTCACCACCATTCTTTGATTCATTTGGTACAATAATTGTCCACAGAAAAAGTCCAATAACTAACGTTAGTCAAAAACAAAAGCCAAACCAATTTTTTGTACAAGCACATAGCAATACAATGAATGATTTTTGTTTTATGTTACTAATGTTGCGCAACATTTAACATAACAGAAAATAATCATTTATCGATAAACAACAAGAAAAAAAACGAATGGAATATATTTGTCAATATGTTATATCAATTCAACATAAGCATTCATTTTCTTTTCAATAAACATTTTTAACATTTATCTAACTGTTCATCATTATATATTGTTACTAGCGAGAACCCGTGCATACTGCACGGCTGTTTTATACTTTAACGCATGACCTCAGACATTTAACTTTTCATCCGGTAAAATACTTACAGACACTCGATATTATGTATATAGAGAGATAGCCCCACGGCCTCATACTGTCATATCGCACATATTGTTATAGGCCATGTAGCCTTCCACCTTATAANCATCCGGTAAAATACTTACAGACACTCGATATTATGTATATAGAGAGATAGCCCCACGGCCTCATACTGTCATATCGCACATATTGTTATAGGCCATGTAGCCTTCGACCTTATAACGTTATATTCCTTGCAGTCTTATCTCCCTATTGTGTTACTCGCTTCAGGGCCTATGGCTATCACAATATAATAGCCCTTGATGGCCAATCAGTACCCCGCTAGGATAGCCCTTGAGGACCTATGAGTATCCCCATAGGATAGCACTTTAGAACTCATGGGTATTTCCATAGGATAGCCCTGAAGGATCTATGGGTAACCCCATAGGATAGCCCTTGAGGACCTATAGGTACCCCCAAAGGATAGCCCTGGAGGACCTATGGGTACCCTCTTAGGATAGCCCAGGAGGACCTATGGATACCCTCATAGAATAGCTCTGAAGGACCTATAGGTACCCTCTTAGAATAGCCCTTCAGGACCTATGGGTTCCCCCCATAGAATAGCCCTTACGGACCTATGGATACCCTCATAGAATAGCCCTGGAGGAACAAAAGGTACCCGCATAGAATAGCCCTGGAGGACCTGTGGGTACCCCCATAGAATAGCCCTTGGGGACCTATAGGTACCCCCATAGGATAGCACTTGGGACCTATCGGTATCCCCATAGGATAACCCTTGAGGATCTATAAGTACCCCATAAAATAGGCCCTGGAGATCTCTCCCTTAGAGTCTTATTTCACCTTTGACCTTTGATCCGGCACAGACACACAGACACTGAACATTATATATATAGATGTTGCTGAGTAATTTTCATTTAACACTCAGACTTATTCTACATGGCTTAGAACTAGTTTTTCATTGAACTCATTCATTGTAATGATTGTAATACAAAGTTCAGCATGATGTTTTACTAGGATTTGCTTTGTTTTGATTTTGAACAATTAGCTAAATCAGATATATTTCTATCTTCAACTTCTTTTAATGTCAAATATAGATATTTGAGTATAAGATTTTTAATCATTTTGCATACAACAAAGATTTTTCTGGGTCTTCAAATTGTTTTAGTTGAAAAAATAAATCAAGAATATTTTCATAATAGAATTCAAACAATCATATCCAACATGAAATAATATTCATCGAAATGAATCTTTTGTAAACTTTATTTTATCTTCAAGAAACAGACCTTCTGAGCTATTTTCTTTTTTGAATTATATTCAGTCGATAAATTCGATACTAGAAACATAAAAGAATATTCTATAATAAGTTTAACAAAAACTATTATCTGATCATCTTTAAAAATATGATTTCGTACAAATATTTCCATATTAAGACCTCATTCAATTGTTTCTATTCAGTTTTCGAGACTAAACGATTTAAATAAAATTTTATCATTATTAGTTTGACCAACATTAAGAAAAAACGAAGTACGTTTAAAATAAAAGACTGAATAGTTAATACGATACTCAGTGAGTTTTTTATTTCCGTTCCTTCTCTCTCTTTCTCTCGATGTAGGCATCAAACCTTATGATTCTCTACCGCGAAAATTTCAACAATTTAATGTAGCATTTTCTTACAGAAAACCACCCAGAAAAGACATGTTTTTATGCACTTTCTTTTTTTTGTCAAGCTTCCAGATAATAAAAACGAAGACAGCGATAAAAGTTAGCCACTACTCTTCTTGCTTATGGCTTAGACAGTTGTATTACAGTCAACTACAGATGGAGAGTCATATATTAACTAAATCGTCGCTCGATGTAGTTCAATAGAAACATGTCAATGTGCACTGATAAGGTCCCTAATATTACATTTTACCATATATCTGCTTTTCAATTTATTTTCTATTTCAAATAGAGTATTGATTGCAGCGTAAATAATTCAAGTTTCCGATAAGAGTGACAGGAAATGAAAATTTGGTTCTAACGCTGTCTACTGTAAATATCTCGTGCCGAAAAGCGTTGTTTGATTAAGTGTACAAATGATTATTCGCTTTTCATTAGACATTCTTTTTCTCGCTAATTCAGATTCGAAGTTGAACACTTCATTTCGCAATCGAGCAAAACTTGAATACCACCTAGTTGTACTTCAAGTTACGTTGAACTACTTTATGCCATTTCATTTTACTTGAAACTTTTTGATACAACTATAAAGCTGAAATCCAGATGTGATGACTAGAAATTCCTCTTATTTCTGCTAACTACTAACCTAACCGAAATCCATCATTGGCCTAACTTCAATGTTCAATTCGTCTAGATCTAACGAAATCGAATAGAGATGCAGAGTTATTTTCTAGCTGATTGAACGGTTTTGAATTATTTCAACGTACGAATAATGTACTCTGATCTACTTAAAGGTACTTCTAGTTTCTTTTTATACTATAACATATTTTTACAATTAAAGTACGCTGACTCCTTCGTAGATATATATGTTCTAACCTGATAGCTATCAAATACATTATTCATATTATTTTGCAATTAAAAAAGACTAAAAAACCATTTTCTTCTCAATAAATACATTCTTTTCATCAATGAGTGAAAAACAGACGTGTCTTGACAATTATTTGCTTCAATTACTACGCTGTACAACCAAGTAATATTGGGATGTAATTGTCGCATCTAAAAACATATAATTATTTTCACTACATGCTGAACAGCGGAACAAACATCAAGAGAATGTAAAAGTGTACCAATTACTCGTGAAAAAATGAGCTGACATAATGTCGTACTCAAAGTGTAAATGATTCATAAAGCAAATCACAACATTAAGTGTGAAGGAAGACGTCCCCAAAAAAGACCATCTTATGTGACATATAGTGACATAGTATTTCTTTTATACGAAAAAAAATCAATTGAAATGTTACATGTAAGAGTTTACTAAGATAATCTCAAAATGTACTCTAATTGAATCATGAACAAAATGTCATAGAGTTCGTATTCAAACAACAATTTATGAATCAAATATGTCGAGAGGTCGCCCTATGGCAATGCTCAATTTTAATTTCAATAATAGGTGTCGCATAAAATAAATAATCCAGAAAATAAATTTAGTTCTTCAATAAATAAATTACTTTCTCTTGAAAACTATTGAATTAAATCCAAAATAATCATATTTATATTTTGATTGCTTGTCAGCCATTATCTATCCTAATAATACCAACATGCTTAAAGCAAGAATTGCTTCTCCTTTCTCTTGTTACATTTATTGTTTATTATTGTTTACTGTTTGTCTATTTAATTCCCACTTTCAATTTCAATCTAGTAGATAACAATGTCACTTCCAATTCAAGTATGTCTATGAAAATAAAACATTGAAATGAATACTAAGTTGCTCATTTTATTGTCTTTTATAATTATTTAGGATGATGAAGATGCTGCTCAGCTTAAATTTCCAAAAGAATTTGATAAAGCTGAACCAATGATGATATCCGAAGTATTACTTATGCTTGAACAACGTCGACAACAGCATACTAATTCAAATAATATGTCAAATATTGGTATTGATGATGATGATGATGAAATAACACTATCCGAAGCATTTAATGATACAGTTGCTTATTGTGAAAGATTTAGTAAATTTAAAACAAAAGAAGCTATTGGAGCTGTAAGAAATTTACTTTTTCCAAAAGATCAAACAAATGGTATGGCAACAACAAATTCATCACCTGGCTTACATAAATTTGAAGCTGCATTACTTGCTAATCTTTGTCCACAACAAGCTATTGAAGCTAAAACATTAATACCATCTTTAGATAGTAAACTAGATGATGATGAATGTCAAAAAATTGTTGATGAAATTCAAACTTACAGAAGTTTTCAATGTTAAATAAAATATAAAAACTTTACATATTGTTTTTTATTATTCTAGATTTATTTTTTTTTGCTTTTTTTCTTTTGCACATCGCTATGAAATCTAATGGACGGTAGTGAAGCACAGATATCATATCAAACAGATTCTCAGCCAGGAGCATCGACAATGCCAAATGTCGATACACAACGTCCATTATATACAGTACCTGGCATACTTCATTTTCTTCAACATGAATGGACGAGTTTTGAAATTGAACGACAACAATGGGAAACAGAACGTGCAGAATTTCAAGTAATAAAAAGAAAATTTCCGAATTGAAATTTGATAATTTTCTTCGTCTAGGCACGTATCGCTTTTCTTCAAGGTGAAAGACAAGGACAAGAAAATTTAAAAAATGCTCTTGTTAGACGTATTAAAATGCTTGAATTTGCATTGAAACAAGAAAGGTAATTTTTTTATTAACAATGATAACGTTTCTTTTCTCTTTTTTTTTGTTTGCTAATTCTCAAGAGAATATTACATATTGATTTCTTGAAAGGAAAAAAAAAAACTTTGTTTTATCTCATGGGATTTTTATCGTTTAGATTAAAATTCAATAAATTAAAATATGGAAGTGAAAATGTTCCAATAGAAGATCAGAAACCAACATCAAATGAAGCACAACATTTTGATGATGGTAAAAGTTTATTTTTTTGAATTAATGTTTTTCTTTAAAATGATTTCGTTTAGATGAAAATAAAGAAGATCCTAATTTAGGTTTTGGTGATAATAGTGTTTCGTTTAAACAAGGTCGTCAATTACTTCGACAGTATGTTATTTAATTAATTGATTTCAATACGAGTTTTTCTTTTTCTTTTTTGTTTAATTAGATATTTAAAAGAAATCGGTTATGTTGACACAATAATTGATATACGTTCAGCAGCTGTTAAAAAACTACTTGGAATTAAAAATGAAACTAATTTCAATGGAAATAATAATAATAATAATAATAATAATATCGGTTTGAATGGTGATACTAAATCAACGAATGAATCAAAACGGTAAAATTATAGATTTGAAGAAAAAAAAATAAAAAATTCAATTTTTCGTTTTATAGAATCATTCCAAATATTGTTAAAAATGCAACAAGTGATTTAAGTAAATCAGTTCTTGCATCACTTGTCTTTCTCAAAGAAGATCAACCTGATGAAGATGCAAGGTAAAAATTAGAAATTATGAAATAAAAATATATATATTTCTTTTTATTTGAAGTGATGATGATATTGACGCCAGCCGTATAATGGTTAAACCAAGTAATGTTAACACAACGAATCATAATTCAGCTCTTGATACACTCAATGATCTCGATAGTGAAGAAGTAGCTTTACATGAATTTGATTTTCTTTCTGGAGATGCTGCTACATCAGCAAGTGTAAATCAAATGACATCAAATGGTAATTCAATAGATTAGTTGTTTTTTTTTATGTATTGAAATCAAATGTCTATTTATTACTTTTGTTTTTAAATAGAAATAAATAGTGGTGATTGGGATGTTGATCAATCTCGATTAAGTCGCCTTAAAGAAGAATATAAACGTGATCGTCATGGTAAACAACATCAACATCATACAGCAAATTCATCATCAATTCGAAATACTTTACTCGATAATGGAAATGATGATACATCTTCTGATCAACGAACATTTTCTACAGATGAACAAAGTATTTGAATCAATAAACAACTAAATCATTTTTTTTTTTTATTCTTTTTTTTAATACAGTCAATCGCGAAATGGTTGATACAATGATGTTTCGAAATAGTAAAAATTTCATGGGGGATACTGCTATGGATGGCCTTGATGAGTTAGCACGAGTTACAGTTTCAAATGACAATGAACCTTTAGATGATGTATTGTTTAATAAATTCATTCAATATAATTTCATTGTTAGTTTTTTTTTTGTTCATTAGACTGCAGTAGCAGATTCATCTGATTTTCGAAAGATATGGAATGTTAAATATGTTTTACGAAGGTAATTATATTTCTATATAATTGAAACTAAGTCAAACATTTCTTATTAGTCATTTGGATGGTGTACGTTGTGTTACATTTCATCCAGTTGAATCAGCTGTTATAACTGGATCTGAAGATCGTACACTTAAATTATGGAATCTTGAAAAATCAGCTGTTTTAAGAAAGTAAGAGAATAATTTTTTATTTTTATTAAAATATAAAATATGTTTTTTTTTTATTATTTAGATCAGCATCGACAACACAAGATCTTGAACCAATCTATACATTTCGACGACATACGTAAGTTTAATAACAAAATCTAATTATCGAATATGGCAAAATATTTTACATCTAACTCCGTTCAGAAACATGAGAAAACGTTAATCTTGTCAAAAGATGCACTATTGAAAGAAAAAAAAAAGATTGTTGAATTTTGTTCATACAATTTCGACTATAATGTTTGGAACTAATCAACAAATTAATATGACTTTCAACGTATAAAGATTATTACTTATCTCTTTGTGCGGAAATGAAACGATTATCTTTTCCTGTGTTATTCTAAAATGTCTTGTCTAAAAATAGTGAACTTGATGAAAACTTGACTTCAAATGAAGAGGATAAAAATACATTGAGGAGAAATCACTGAATCATGTAGGAAGTATTGATACATGTTTTGATGTTTTTACTGTATCTGGACTAGTTGTTGATTTGATGACAAAATGCATTTTTCCGGTTTTTTCTTCGTTGTGGCAAATAATATGATGACATACTTGTTTAGTGTTAGTAGTCTAGTAGAATTTAGAATTGATCTTGTCATTCGAGTAGAATATTCAATGGCGCATTTTTTTGTAAAAACAAACGATCAATGTTTTATCGTGTCCTTGAATAGAGCTAAATGCAAAACTTTTTTTTGGCACACTCGATAATTGAATTTATTTAATTGATCTAGCGGTCCCGTCTTATGCGTGGCAATGAATCCGTCCGGAGAACAGTGTTATAGTGGTGGTCTTGATTCAATTATATCTGTATGGAATATTCCAAATTCCGATGTTGATCCATATGATTCCTATGGTAAATAAATGACTAAAACTTTTTCTTGGTTTTTTTTCTTCTTATCAATACTATTTTGTTTTTCAAGATTCAAATGTTTTATGTAAAGTGTTAGAAGGTCATACAGATGCTGTTTGGCAATTAGTTATATCCGGTCAAAAATTATTATCATGTTCATCGGATGGATCTATTCGATTATGGGATCCAAATTTAATTCAACCATCACAATCAATATTTCACAGTACAGTAGTGAAGAAAAATCTCTCTTCCTTCATTCTCCGAATCTTGATTACAATACATGCCGTAGATTGGAAAATTTTTGTATTCTCTATTGGAAAAAATATGAGTGTTAAAATTATATTCAGTGCATTTACGTTAGAATACTTCCAAACTCGATGAAACTTTTACATAATGTTTTTCTGTATCTGACGCGTCTATTTAATTAGCATAAATGCTATCTATGCTTAGATAGAGATTTTCTATCTTCTTTTTATTTCAGAAGTATGTTAAGAAAAAAAAAAGTTCTCTCATAACACGTCATGAAAAATTCACTAGACAATGTTTTTTTGTTCTAAAATTTTGAAGCAAATATAGTTACCTTTTATCATAATTTTCAATGTGTTTTTACCAATCAGGAAGACGTTTATGCTTCTGAACTAAATTGTTAACACATTATTTCAGACTTCTAGCATGTATCGTAGTCATAATACGGAAGGGTCACAGTCTTTTGTTCACCATTTTATATCTTCTTCATTCATGAATGTTTTTTTAATAATATAGATGATGGTATTCCAATATCTATCGATTGGTTAANCAATTAGTTATATCCGGTCAAAAATTATTATCATGTTCATCGGATGGATCTATTCGATTATGGGATCCAAATTTAATTCAACCATCACAATCAATATTTCCCAGTACAGTAGTGAAGAAAAATCTCTCTTCCTTCATTCTCCGAATCTTGATTACAATACATGCCGTAGATTGGAAAATTTTTGTATTCTCTATTGGAAAAAATATGAGTGTTAAAATTATGTTTAGTGCATTCACGTTAGAATACTTCCAAACTCGATGAAACTTCTACATAATGTTTTTCTGTATCTGACGCGTCTATTTTAGTTAGCATAAATGCTATCTATGCTCAGATAGAGATTTTCTATCTTCTTTTTATTTCAGAAGTATGTTAAGAAAAAAAAAAAGTTCTCTCATAACACGTCATGAAAAATTCACTAGACAATGTTTTTTTGTTGTAAAATTTTGAAGCAAATATAGTTACCTTTTATCATAATTTTCAATGTGTTTTTACCAATCAGGAAGACCTTTATGCTTCTGAACTAAATTGTTAACACATTATTTCAGACTTCTAGCATGTATCGTAGTCATAATACGGAAGGGTCACAGTCTTTTGTTCACCATTTTATATCTTCTTCATTCATGAATATTTTTTTAATAATATAGATGATGGTATTCCAATATCTATCGATTGGTTAATGCAAGATACAAATCAATTTGTTGCTACATACGACTCCTTAAAAACAATTATTTATGATACTGAAACAGGAAAGGTTGTATCACAATTAGTTAACGATAATTCAACATCAGATCCAAGTTATCGAATTAATAAAATCATAAGCCATCCATCACAACCAATTATAATAACAGCGCATGAGGACAGAAAAATACGATATTTTGATAGTAATTCCGGTAAAGCAAAACTTTTGTTGATATATCGATGATAATACTAAATATACGGTTTTAGGACGTATGATACATTCAATGGTAGCTCATCTTGATACCGTTACTTCATTAGCAATTGATCCGCAACAAACATGCCTTCTTTCTGGCAGTAAGAATGAATTTTTTTTTTGTAAATTTTGTTTGTTTATGCAAAATATTTTTAAGGTCATGATCGTTCAATACGTTTATGGAATTTGGAAACAAAAAATTGCATACAAGAATTTACAGCTCATCAAAAGAAAGATGATGAGTCTATAAATGACGTTGCATTTCATTTATCCAAACCTTATATGGCTAGTGTTGGAGCAGATTCAATAGCGAAAATTTATGCTTAAATATAAATCTTGTTCGTTGATATGTTCTCTTCTTTTTTTTAGCACGCAGAGTCTCTAGTTTTGTGTTGTTGTCTACTTTTCGTGTGCCAGATATAACATCGTCTTCTCTCTTATTGTCTGTAATTTTTTGCACACGAATTCTGTTTTTATAAAAAACACAAATTCCTTTACCATGCAAATTTATTCTCTTTTTGTCCTTTGTGTAAATAAAAACATCAAACATGTGTGTGTCTGTGTGTGTGTGTGTGTGTGTGTCTTTTGTTCATTCTATTTTCACTTTGAAATACGAACAACAAATTAAAACAGAATGTCATTTTCTTTTTTTTTTCGTTTTTTTTTCTTTCGTTCACTATCTAATCTATCGTGTATTTCTTGTCTTTTACTGAGAAAAAAAATATATTAGCATTAAAAAAGATTCGAGCACGGTGTGTATAGACAACACACTCATTTGTTTTGTTTTATTTTATTTTTTATATGAATGTAAAAAAACGGAAATCAAAGATGTCTAACGTTTCCTATAAAGATTGACAGATACAAGTATTTGATTCCTTAGCTTTTATAATTTCCGGAAAATGAAATCATCGACCCACATTACAGAAGGAAATATATTAATCATTGCTTTTATAGAATTGACATGATTTTCTATGTTAATTTTATTATCAAAAAGACAAAACCATGAAATTTTAAAATAGTATATTATCAATGAAAAAAATGCTTACGAGTTATAATTTTGAAATAAATGAGATCTGTAGTTTGTGTTTAGAACAAATTGACATATATTTACAGTAAATACTAAAATTATTCAACAAGATTTATTTGCGATTTTGTTTGGTTAGGATAAGCGCTAGAAAGAATTCTAATAGTAATTCGAGTAGAGAAAATTGTTTTCAACAGGAATATAAGAAAATAGAAATTATAATCAGATTCTCGAAGATATGAACTGTAGGAAAAGCCAAACCCTCACTCTTCAGCATCTAGAAGGTGTAAATATAATTTTGTTTAGACTACATAGAACGATAGAGTAAATAATTGTCTACGAAATGCGACGTCTCCGGTTTCTCTGCGGCGTTCTTTTGGTTGAGATATAGCAATCTTATGGGAGCCCCCCTAAAGTCGTTTTTTCTTTATTATTTCTTATAGAAAACGCCAATTGTCTTGACCTTCAACCAAATTGCTGCTATTTCAGTTAGAAAAAGGTCAGGAGAACATCTGAGACGTCTCATTTGGTAAAGAATCATTTGCCCTACTATTCTATACAGTCTCAACAAACTTATATTTACACGATCTCGGTATTAAAAAACTAGGGTTTGAGTTTTCTGAAGTTTCTATCTTCCAGAATCTGAGTATAATTTCTATTTTCTTATATTCTTGTTGGACATTATTTTCTCTAGTCGAATTACTATTTAGATTCTTTCTAGCATTTATGGCGAGCAGAAAAAATTGTTAATATATCTTGTTGGATGATTTTAGTACTCACTATATATCAATAAGGAGTGTATCGAAAGTTTTTAGACAAATTTATTTGATTATTTTTCGCGTATTTAAATACACTGATAGTGTATTAGAACCAGAATTTGTTTTTATAACTTTTAACTTCGAGCTATATTGTTCTGAAGGGTTATTTTACGTTGAAAAAGCGAAAATCGGCAAAAATATTTGATAAAATTTTGTGGAATGTCTCGAACAAGTTCTGTTCGCGGCTTTTCTCTCAAAAACAAAAACATTCTGAAAAATAACAAAACGCTGATTCTAGTACACTAACATTCTATATATATACACGAAAAATAGTCCAATGTTTTGTCCAGAAATTTTTGATTCACGGCTAAGTATGAGAGTAAATGCTTACAATACAAAGAAAAGTTTAATAAAAAAATGTTAATACATTCATCTAATTTCTTTTTAAGCTGCTCGTTCAAGAAAAGAAGTCAATTCTCATCAGTAAAATCAAAATTGATATGATAGCCCGAGGTTTGATCTTTCATAAGTGACATGATTTCCTATTTAGCACTACATCTTTCTTTGCTAAAACGTTTAATAATTTTTGTCACTTTCTGCTTGAAACATATGCTGTTTTCTCTGTTTATTCTTTTCTAATCTCGTATCTCTGAATTCTCGAAGGAGCTTCATTATAGCCAATTGCTTATTTTGATTATTTGAAAGGAAATTTATAGCTACAGTATCCAGTTTTTGAATTAAGCCTCGTAAAGAGTATTTCTATAAATAGATGACTATTTTTAAATTTATTAAACTTTTTATCTTTGTTCTTTGCATAAAAAGTAAGACTTCGAAAACAAAGACTACTGCAGTCTGAAACCTACTTTCAAATAAGACAAAAATTAAATTTATATAATGAAGATTCAAAAAAAAAAAAATAAATGCACTATTTTTGATCTTTCTTTGTTAAATATCTTCCGAACACATCATGATATAAGGTTGAAAGTTTTAGCATAGTCTCTCCACGGCAACCCTAACATATCCTGGAAATTTCATGCGATATGAATATACCTGGTCCAAGATCGATTTTTGAGCGACAACATCTGTTAATAGGTTATTTCATGTTTCATCAGTCGTATTCTCTAGTTAAGTATATAATATTGAATTATATCAATAGTCCCATAATAGCTCTTCTTTTAGTGTTACTGAGCTAATATGGAATATTATCAAACACAAAATTTGAGAAAAAGAATCCAAAAGTTACAACATGAGCTCGGAAATGCGACCGAGGAATGATAGAATGGCCTATTAATAAATATTATTCAAGGATGTATTAAAAAAAATCTTACATGATGTGTCAACACTTTGTATCGTAGTATAAGAAATGTCAACTCTTGTGCAATGCGCATATATATATATATATATCTACGCCAATTTGTTCTGACCATAGACTGTATTTTATATACATAATATACTTCACAAGTGTTTTATCGTTAGTAGATATCGAATAAAATATCTTCTGATAACTCCTATGAAAATAGCCTTCATACAGTATGGAAAATTGATTATTCTTTATGCACCGATGCGATCCATTTGTCTTTTGCTTAGACAATCAACAAAAAAAGAGGAAGATCATTATATTTGTATTGTTTGATATTTTTTTTATCCATATATTGTTTCTTCTCCGTTCCTGTTAATAATAACAATAGAAAGGAAAGAATAAAGGTCTTGTTCTAACACATCTGTTCCAGACATTCATCGTAATATATGCACTAGTTGATTGTCATATTTCGTGATCGATTTATTATTTTTTATATATAAATGCCTATAGATATGGAGGGTTTACGTGACGGTTATCGTGGTCGATATCGTGATCAACATAATAATTTTCCGACAAATCGAAATAATCATGTGGATCGTTCAACACGTGGAAATTATCGGTAAGATAGATATTTTTAATTTTAAATGAAAATAAAACAAAAGTCTGTTTCTTTTTTCTCTTCAGTGGACGTCCATCACATAATAATAATCATAATGGTAATTATTCATCAAGAAATTCACCAAATGAAAGTTATAAATATCGTTCATCACGTATCTCACTTAATTCTCGACCTGTTTCATCACGAAATGGTCCACCAAAGTATCATCGTTATCAACACAATGATGATTATCCATCTTCATCAAATTTTTCTTCTTCATTATCTAATCGAACAAATAGTGGTCAATCAAATTATTATGATAATCATTCACCATCATCAAGATTTGATCGATCATCAAATCATCGTGAAATATATCCATCTTTATTAACTGAACAGCCAATTATTTCCAATGGTCCTATTCCATCAAATTCTTTATATTATACTTCATCTCAATCAATATCACCTTTACGTGATCGTGGTTTACATTTACCTCCGTCACAACATATGGATTCAGAACGTAATCGATATGTTTCATCGTCTTCAAATTATCGGTAGATTTTGATTTTAATTAAATATTTTGACAATTTTTAATGTATTTTGTAGACGAAATAGTCCTCCACCACCTGTTTCATCTTATCGAAATGAACGGTCAATGGATTATGGATCTCGAAATACAACTAATGATACATATATGCGTAATGAATATCGATCTCTAACGCCTCCACCATTGGCTCTTGTATCTTCACGCAGTGATCCATATGGCGGTGAAATATATCGAGCTAATGAATATGGCACACGTTCTGAACGATACGATATACCACGTAAGTGATATTCTAGACAATTCTTTTTTCTATTAACCCGTCGCTGTTAGCACAAACATCATCATCTCTCTATATCGTTCATTAAACAATCATATGTTTTTATTTTCATTACACTCAATCTGTTACTATCTCTCGGTTCATTTAACCACATATATATATATATCAAATATAATGATCAAAACAAACCAAAAATCTTTGTTTTTTTTTGATCGCTTTGAAGTAGATATTAATCATTTATTATCATAATGATTAATTTCTAAGACGTATATACTAATATCTTTATTCAAGATGATTAATGTTCGATACATTAATGAGAAAAAAAAAATATATATAACATCGACCTTTTTCAATGCCATCGTCTTATTTCAATTGTAAAGCAAAAAAAAAAACTTTAATTCAATATGATTAACTGATAACAATTATTCAAGATACAAAACAATAAACAAATAATTAATAATTTTTTTTTTGTCTCTGAATAAATCAGTTTTCTAATATTAAGATTTTGACAAGAAAAAAAGTATAAAAACTAGAAAAAAAAAAAGCAAATAATAAATCTCGAAAATTTATATTTATTTTCTTATGCATTATTACAATCAAGCGAAAAATACTCCTTTAATTTGTAGCGAATCGAAATAATACATCATCACGTGATTATTCAATGGCATCTGTATCATCATCTACTTATCGTAATGATTTGTATCGAAGTTCATCAAATGTTTCAATGTCATCACCATCATCATATATGACACGTGAACAATATGTACAAGATATTAATTACCGTCCAATGTCTCAATCAAGAGATTATGGAAGTACATCATCAACACGTAATAATTATACATCATCGATGGATAATCAAGAAGGTTCATTTCGAAATGCTCGTGATCGTAATCATAATGATAATCGTTCATCATCTCATCGAGATCGTCCAAATTTGAAACGTTCCGGCTCAAGATATAATGATAATGAACCAATACCATCTAAACGACCTATGAGACGATAAACAAATGAAAATAGATTTATCCATTTTTTTTTATTTTTCTTCCAAAATTTCATCGTTCGTTTTTTTGGCGAATGAATTCATATTAGATAAAAAAAGAAAACAAAGAAGACAATATGTATATGAAATAGTTTAAACATCATCTCCATTGTATGTACAAACATTTATTTCTGTCTGTTTTTGTTTGTCTATGGTTTATGTATATTGAAAAAAAACAATTGTAAAACTTTCATTGATTTTTTTTTTCATGAAAAAAAAAGAAAGAAACCTTAATCAACATATGTAAAAGGAAATTCTATTCGTATTACAAATATAAACAAGTAGTATCGAATTTCATATATGTCTATTGTTTTCTTTTAATGTTACTTTTATTCGGTAAGAACATGTTGATTTATTTTTCAAGGTGTTTTATTTTTGTCTACTATTATATTTGTTCTATTTTTATTTTCTTATCATAGGAGACAATCTGGATGATTGTGCAGAATCGTCATTAACATTCAAGGATATATTCTACTAACAGGTATACTAAAAACAAAGAAATAAATGATATTGATTTATTTATCTTGATAGGCCAAGAACATTATTACCTCATATGAATTAGAGTTGTGTAAGGTACGCTTTTTTTTCGTATCTTGTACCCTGACTGACAAGGAAACATTATTAAGTATCTGATTGTTTTTTTTTCATGAAGATTGTACTGAGATGATAGACTATGGCGACCAACGTCAAAGTCTTACATGGTTCAATGGTGTTAATCATTGTTTTTACAATATTGATTTTTCACTGGATTTTTTAATCAAAGTCTCTCTGACCTTCCTTAGGTCACCATGAAAATCGAATTTCGAGTTTTGACTTGAAACTTTGCATAGATAAAACTCTTAACGATACTAGTTCACCATGAAAGTTTCACTGATTTTAGTGCTTCGCATCAGAAGATATCAGTATACCAAGAATTAGAGAATTTTCATTATTCATATCGCAATGTAACACATAGAAAAAAACAGTGAAAATTTCACAATAAACTAATTTTATTGAGAACTTAATTTATACAAAGTTTCAAGTCAAAAGTCTAAATTTCGATTTTCATGACAATCTGCGATACTTCTCAAGTTTCGGTTAAGAAATCCAGTAAAAATTCGATAGATCAAGAATAAAGACTTAGACAACTGAAACATCTCACAGTAGACAATTCCTATACAGCACATGGGCATGACTTATTTCGTGTTGAGTTCACCTTTTTGTCACAGGAATATCAGTTTCTACTTGTCAGATACCAATGACTGATAAAAAGAAAGTGAATCTGAAAAATAATTTATTAATGAAAAATCCTTGAGGAGGACCCTTACCCTAATTTTTTGTGAAAAAATATTATATTTAAAAAACTACAAGATTATATATCATTCGATGTAGTTTTTTATGCTGATTCCGAATATGTGCTTAGTTTTATTTGAAAGCACTTCTGATCCGACAAAAATGAAGAATAACGTTGAAAAAGCCCTCAGTTGAGAAAGAATACATGGCTTTTCTAACAGAAAAAGTGTTAGAGCAAAGTTTTTGTTATAGAACGATAGAACAAGAGCTCTAATTTCAGTATCTGTATGATTTATTCTATAGATCTTTCTGTTTTCTTTGTAGTCCTTTGGAAAAAGATACTATTCAGTAAGATAACAGAAATCTGGCCATTTTTTGGGCCTAAGGTTTTTCCAATGCCTTAAGCAGCTGGAATAAATCGTTTTTACCAAAAAGTCGACTATTGGCCAAAGTATATTTGACATTATTCAAATTGTGAAAAATGTCACTTTCATTTTTTCACCAAATGTCCACGTTGCTGTCCATTGTGCATCTTAGGCTTTGACACTACTCGTCATAGTCTATCACCTGATTACAGTCTCGATCAAAAGCCAATTGGACATTTGCGTAGGTTCCTTTGTGAAAAAATTTTCTAACCCTTACTCTATCCTGCAGATCTCTAAAATGAATAGACTTTTTGTTTTTGTCAGGTTAAAAATTTAAATAAAAAGATAAACGATTTCATGGAATATATATATTAAACTATATCATAACGATATATTCTTCGTTTATAATCTTTTTGAGTTTTTCTAATGAATCTATTTTTACAATGCAATTTTTCAATTGCGATTATTCCAATGATTAAATTATCTGTCCATTAATTATCAAAGAATACATCATAATTATCACATTTAGTAGTAAGAAAATACCCAACATTAGAAAACAATCTAGTATGTTAACTTAAATGAATTGTAAAAATTTAAGAATTTTCTCTTGCATCATTTCTATTTTTCTAGTTATACAATTATTCAAACTCAAAGAGAATTGTTATCAACAACATTAAATGAAAATTTTTTTATATATTATCAGAATTGTTTTTTTTGGTGTATTATTGACTACATTTACACCAATATGTGCTCTTATGAGGGCAACAGCAGTTTTTCAAGGAAAAAGTTCAGTATGGTTATTAGATATTTGATCTTGAATAAGAGTTGTTATATTTCTAGGGTGTCATGCAATCATCATTTCATTCAATTTAATCTAAATGGTTATTGAAAGATAAAAGATGATTTTATATATATTTTTTAATTCTTATATGGATGATTCTATGGTTTTATTTTACTACGAAATCATACATTCAATGATAACGCCTCAAAAAATAACATACATCGAATTTCATCATTATCAATCTGTTATATGAGTAATTACTTTAAAACAATCTAAGAATGATTACATTAAAAAGAAAGCTAATTATGATTGAACTAATTCAAGAATTTTCAAGAATTATTGGAGTAGCATATTTTACTTCTAAATTGTTAATTTACATTTCATTTATTAAATTACCAATATTTCTTACTGCAAATATAAGAAAAACAAATATATTTAGTGTTTAGTTAAAACAACAATGATATAATAATATTTATAAGAATTATGGATGAAATATAATTTGAATGACTATAAACGAAATAATATTGATGACTTAAAAAAACATTTCTATGCTAAAATAAATAATAATATTGAATAACGTAAAAAAGAAAAATATTTTTTTGTATCTTGTCTTGCTATTTGAACAAATAAATAAATATTGTTTTTTTTTTCTTTATTTTTTGATTGTAAATTATGTCGAAACACAGACGTGGTGGAAGACAGCAGAAATCTTATGGTGGAACTGCTGGTAGTGGTGGTCGTGGCGGCGGCGGCGGCGGCGGTAATAGACAAGGAAAGATTTTGTATAATGCAGGGGATGAACCAGCATTTATACGACAATTTAAAGAGCGTACTGGATATCAAGCACCATTAACAACTGATGATAAAGTATAGAATCTTATTATTTCTTTTTCCTTTTCGTTTGAATAATTTTTTGTATTTGAATATTAGCATCGAACCCTTATCAATGAAATAAATGATAATGATGAACGACCACGTGATGGAGATTATCGAAAAGATGATGAAAAACCTCAAATTGTACAATTAGATGCAAATGATTTAAGTAAAGAAGAAGTTGAAGTTGAATTAGCAAAAGCAAAAGAAGGTATTCTATTCTTTTACGTCTTAGAATTTAGAAGAAAAAAACAACATCTGTTTTTCACCTTGTATTTCCCCAAGGTCAGAAAAATAAACTGTTTATCAAACAGTTTATTCATTGTCGTATTATCATGTTCGTATTAAGGGACAAAACAATATTTTTTAGTGTTGACAAACAAAATAATAATGTTTATCAAAATCATACATTAGAACCTTTCTAAGCTTTGATTTTCTGAAATGTTATTAAAATAGTTTTTTTTTACTATCAATAAATACAGATGTTCTAAAAGAAGATTTTATTTTTATCTTTTTCTTTTATATTGTCTATTTACAAATAGAAGATTCAAGGTACATAAATATTAGAATAGTTGTTCTTCATTTTCGTTTTGGACTTGAAAAATAGTCACATTTTATTCTTATAAGGCTATTACTGCAAACTATTTTTAGCATAAAATTGCCATTTGTTCTGGTAAATGAATGCCATATTTTCAAGCTTATTTACATAGACCAGTTCGATGAATAATTCAAATACATCTATTTTCAAAATTTCAACAAATAATTGTTTTTTTATTTTTAGCTGACGAAGAAAAAAAATGTATTGATTCTAATGGTCGTCTATTATTTCGAAAACCAAAAGAAAAATCAGATGATAGTGTAGCTGCAACTAGCAAATCTGATATTATTGAAATGGCATCAAATAAATCAACAAAAAGAAAGAATCCACCTCCATCAACAACTACACAAAAAGAAAGTAATCATGGAAATTCGAGTGAAAAAAAAAAGACCAAAATACAATTACTTTCATTCATGAATGAAAGTGGTATTGATGGAGATGATTAATTTCTTTTTTTTTCTTTNCAGTAACATTGTCATAACTTAGCTCGGAAAATTCATAGACAAAACCATTTTACGATTTTCTACGACCTTCTTATGAACTGAAAATGATGATTATCATTTCAGATAGTTTTCTCGTAAAATTTTTTGATAAAATAGTAAATGTGACTAATAACAATAGCAACCAATATACAAATCATCTTCATCACTAATTTGACACGTTTCGTGAGTGATTGTTCACATGACAATTTTAAATGCAAACTTTTTAGATTTGTTGTGTTTGACATTGAGATATTTCATTTATTTTAAATCGTTAATTCAACAAATGCATTAACTGATCATATGAGGAATAACTCATGAAATGTTTGAAATGAATAATGAAGATCATGACACATGAATGTCTAGAATTTTATATTTAATAAACTTACTATTTTATATTGACAATTGATATCAAAAGGTTATTTATTGAAATGACAATGCATACACACACGTATATATATATATATGATCGATGTTTAGTCAGGAAGCATCCTTTTCACTTCGGACGGCCTAAGAAAAAAAGTGAACCATAACAGTCACCAACACGACGGAAATATATATGGAACAGTTTGAAATAATATATATTTTTTTCTTATATTGAATGTGTTATCCAATAATATTACCGTAACAAATGAAGTGTTACAATTATCAGTTTTTCAAAATGGCATCAAATAAATCAACAAAAAGAAAGAATCCACCTCCATCAACAACTACACAAAAAGAAAGTAATCATGGAAATTCGAGTGAAAAAAAAAAGACCAAAATACAATTACTTTCATTCATGAATGAAAGTGGTATTGATGGAGATGATTAATTTCTTTTTTTTTCTTTTTGTTTGTAAATAAAAATCAAATATCTACAATACATAATTTCTCAATCTAATCATTCTAGGACAAAAAAACATTCTTGTTCTCAACCATGCAAATCATAAGCAAATTCATCTGTAACATGTTGCTATGCTCTACTATTTCCTATAACCTATTTTTCAGAGGAAAAAATTGTCAGGCAATTATTTTTGACTTTTCACTCTAATAAGCAAATGTCTATTTATGCATTAATAATTTCTAAGTGAAAGTTTCTCATATAATAGTCGTTGCCATAGATTCACCTTTCGTATTCTTGTCATTGTTTTTTTATCAAATGGAATTACATGCAAACTTCATGTTTACATTTTCTAACATAAAAAGAAGACATAGATTAGATCTATATATTATGAAGATCAAATAACATAGACAACTTGATCAGTGACATGTTGGCTTTCAATGTCGGACACAGAGTTCTTTTTACCATCTGCCATGTGTCAATCATATTTGTTCACAAGACAAGATCAAATTTCATCTTAGCGCATTTTCTATATATATATATTTTCAACTGAATTGGTAAGATGTTCTAATATCTTTGAATCAATGTTATTCACATAAATATACATTGTTTATCATCAAAACTATCCGATCAAAAACTTGTTTATATCCTTAAATGTATAAATATATATATATATTTTTCACATTTCTATGAGATATTCAATATGTTGATATAATTCCCAGCCAATTTTATTGTTTGATCCCACATACGTGTTAATCACATGAAAACGTGGGAATAAATAGAAAAGGGGGGAAAAAGGACAAACATTTATATATATATTCGGTACTATAAATAATGATGACATCGAACTTGTAGATCGATTTATATATCTATTGCTTATATGAATACTGTCATCAACACTATTTGAGTGTTGTTCGTTTTCTTTTTTGTTCTAACAATTAAATGAGTAGACCTCGTGTTCTTTTTTTTCTGCTCTTATTAAACTAGTCGATAGTCAGATTAGTAACTATGTATAGAGAGTAATGATTAATATTCAATTAGAAAGAGAAAACATCATAAGTTACTTTTTTTTTTGATATACTTGTATGCATTTGGACTATTTCAGTTTTATTCGCGTTATTCCTATCCCAACAAAGAGTATATTATATATATATATATATATATAGTACTGCACTCATTCATTTCAAGGTCATTGTATATCATCCGCCGAAGATAACAGTATAGTTTAAGACGAATATACGTGCTGAATTTCGCACATATGGGTAAGGACATTTGTATTTGACGTCATATGGCGTCTTTTCAATTTAAATATCTGTACATGATTTATCAGAATTAAGAAAACCACCCACGAACAAATATTCTCCTATTTAAATATAAATAAGATTAAATTGAATAATTGTTATCATTTTTCTTTTTCAAAAATTTTATTTAATCGATATGTATTCAGTGTGCCATAAATTAATATTGGTATCTATTAGTTTCTACATACGTAGGCGTATGTATTGAGTCATTATTGACGCATAGACATAATCGAAACTTTCGCAACAACACCAAACAGTACACAGAAAAAAATTGTAACACGAGGAAACGAAAAAAAACCTGACACAATATAAATTGCGCAAAACTGCAACAATAGTTGCTTGTAGTACTATGAAAATTTTTGACTTGTAACGAAAGCTACATTTTTTTTTGAAAAATTAATACGAAACATAACTTACTATTAATGATATTTTTTTAATTTCAATTAGTCGAATATATAACACCAATGTAAAGGTGTACACTAACCGGTACTTTACCTTAACGTGTTTTTCAATGAAAAGAAAAAGTTTCAATGAAGTATATTTCCGTTTTATTTTATTTTTTGCTACTTTATATTGATGATTTTAAAGTGTCATACAAACTATGTCGTTAAGTAAATATAGACAGGACTAATATTCGGATTTTTGTTCTTATTCTTTTTTTTTTTATTCCTTATGAATAGACACCAAGAAGAGAATCTATATTTTTAAAACTAATATTTTTTTTCTGAATAGAATCTCGGTTAATGACTTTTATTCGTATTGAAAAAAGTGATAATTATAATAATAATTTCCTCTTTAACTATATCGATATCCAACCACGCATATACTTCGTATGCTTAAAAAAAAGAAATATTTCTTGCTTTTTTTTTCTCTCGTCTACATAAATAGTTTTTTTTTTTATTTACATAAAAAAGAATTTCAGTTTTCTTTTCTACACTAATTGAATGTAACGTATTTTTCGTCTACGAATAACAGACAAAACAACATCCATTAATCAGTTGACAGACAGTTCTTTGTCTGTGTGATTTAAACTTTAATTTGAACAACGTGTCGTTTTCATTCTGCTTATTGTTATTTATTTGGCATAGACGAAAAAGGCAACATACATATCGTCCTCCTCTCCTTCGCCGCAATCGTATCTCTTCATTCACATATAGATATATCTATATATATATGTATATTCTTTGCGCCTATCACAAGTAGAAATGATTGTTTATTATGTTCTACGTATTCGCTTCTCTCACAAGTGAATTAGTCTAATGATGGCAAAGACATTTGCTTGATCGTTCGTTCGTTATCTTTCTTTTGTTTTAATTAAACCAATTGTTTGATTAAGAATCTACGTCTGTCAACGACGTATGTACTCAGCACTATATTTCTTCCTCCTCCTACGCTGTCGCAAAAGAAAGAACATCTTATTATTCGTCTAGTTTGTTTTGGTTACGAGCCAAATGAGAATGAGAAAAAAAATATATAGAGAAAAAAAACCTCTAAAGCGCAGTCGTTGTTTGCTAATTTCATTCAACTATTTGTCTTGGACTTTTGCCAAGCATTATGTTGGCCTCTCTTTTCTCGTTTTTTTCTTTTCGGCCCTGCTTGTGTGCACACAACTCATTCATGGACGCGCATACACGCACACTGCTATTTCTTCTTTCCTTTCCTTCGCCTTTTTTTGTCCGCGAATGATGTTAGAACAGGTCATGTTGGTTGGTAAGCAGTAAACAGCAGCAGCATCGTCGTTATTGTGTTTTTGTTGGATAGAGATATCTCGTTTTCTTCCTGCTTTTTTTTTTCTCGCTTTCGATGAGAATATCCTCCCGATTGCGCGCGTACAACAAAAGAGAGACAAAAGAAAATGAGAACGAGAAAGAGAGAGAGAGAAAAAAAAGAAAAAGAAAAGAAAAGAAAAGACAATTCATTTTGCAATTTTTCTTCTCCCATTATCGCAACACACATATACGCTCGTTTTTTTCGTTTTTACTCGATGAAACAAACATTTTCGTATTTGACATTTTAGATAAGCGTTTTGCGTTTGTCGAAATTTTTACTATTATTTTAAAATAATCAACATAGAAAAAAAAATTTCAATATCAACATCAAGGAAAAAAACTTTCATATCAACATCAAGAAAAACGATCATTTTTTATCATTATGAGTACCCTTGTCCTTTCTCCCTCTTCTCATCATCATCATCGTCATCATCAACAGCAGCAACAAGAAACAAGTGATCATCGTCAAAAACAATCTAGTACAACATCAACAAATAAAACACGTTCAAGTAAGTTAAAGTTGCACCATAGTGTTATCTTATCATAGGTAAGAGAGTATAACAATAAAAGATAAAATATATAGGCTATTACATTTGCTCATCCCCTTTTGTTAAAGAGCTTGTCATTGATATAATCAATGATGATACATACCAGAGATAGATCATTTGTGCGACAGGTTCTTTTTATCTTTGTATAAGAAGGCATAAAGTATAAATGGGCGAGGTGGATGGGATTAAAAGGACATTCTATTTATCTGTCATTTTATCTCGTTTAACCATATCTATTTCTGTATGTCGAACAAAATTCGATTGAAAGCAACAGTTGTTGACTTCCGTCACTGACATGTTAGTATAGATATATATCTTTTTCTAGCTCCTGTTGATCCACTTCATGCTCGGTATTTAATTGCTCATAAGATTGCATCAGGCGGTTTTGGAGATGTTTATGCTGGTGTACGAAAAAAAGATGGAATGCAAGTTGCAATTAAAATTGTTGCAAAAAAACGGATGCGTGAAATAAATACAGTAAGATATAAAAAAATAAATAGATAAATCAATAAATAAATCAATAATATCTTATTTAGCCCGATGGAAAATTACCACTTGAAGTTATTTTATTACGTCGTGTAGCTAAAGTTAAAAATGTTATACATTTAGTGGAATATTTTATTCATAATGACCAAGTTGTTATTGTACTAGAACGACCTGAACGTTGTTGTGATTTATATGATTTTATATCTGAACGTACAGGTGGTCTTGATGAACGTTTAGCACGAGATTTTTTCAAACAAATTGTACAAATTCTTAAAGATGTTCATGCATGTGGAGTAAGTTACAAATTTATTTCAAAGAAAAAATTATTTGTTTTTTTCTTAGGTTCTTCATCGAGATATAAAAGATGAAAATTTTCTTATTGATATGCGTACTGGACAATTATATTTAATTGATTTTGGTTCTGGCGCTTTATTACATGATGGCATTTATACAGAATTTGAAGGAACTTCATGTTATGCTGCTCCAGAATGGGTTACATGTCGACGATATTTTGGTTTACCACAAACAGTTTGGTCATTAGGAATACTATTATATGATTTAGTTTGTGGTGATATACCATTTTCTGATGATTTAGCTATTATTAAGTGTCAACCACAATTTCCAAATCATCTTTCATCAGGTAATTAATTCGTCTCAAAGAAAGCATAATGATATATCAGATAACAGTGTTGACAGATAGTTGATTATACAAAAATGTAGAACAGAAATGGTCGATTTATTTTTTCTAATAAGGAAAACAAATTTCTTGAAATATGGAAATTCCCATATCCTCATCAATAATTATTTTTCGCTCTATAAAATAGAAATATTTTCTTTGTCCTATGGGCTTTCTTATTAGCGTATAAATATATTAAAAGGAAAAGAAAAAAGACTTGTCACGCTACGTAACACCAAGAAAGAACATATTGCTCTGAATTTTTAATAAATGAAACACATTATAATTATATATATGAACTCATTTTAGAATGTGTACAATTAATCGAACAATGTTTATCAATAAGATCATCTGAACGACCTACATTAGAGCAATGTTTACAATCTGAATGGTTAAAACTTCCTTCATCAAAAGACTTAAGTTTATCACTAGTACCACGTCGTCGTGGTGGCTATAATCATAATCAATTAAAAGACTTACAATCATTATCGAAGTCGACGACAAGTAGTTTTTCTTCTCGCGGTAATTCATTGTAGTTTTAACATTTTCTTTCTTTTTTTTCTTATCCTTGCTTTTCTCCGTCCGTCGTCTTCGTTCAATGATTGCTCTTCTTTTGTATCTATGCAAATGGCGTGCATGTATATGCACGATTCTATCATGTACATCTTTTACTTTAATTCACAACCTTATTTATACTTAAGAAAAAAACAAAATTAAACTAACATTACTTGTACAGATTAAATGTGCATTCGTTTTGTTGTCTCTCTCTCTCTCTCTCTCTATTTTTAACATGTATCCTTTATTTTTTTTGTCTTGGCGCTCTTTCTACTGAATACAATGTAACAGTTACGTTATTGTTCAAGGGAGATGAGTGGTATATATACAAGTACATTTCTTTTTTTTTTTGTTGCACTTACAAGTGGTATGTATAAAAAAGTACACATTGTACTGTCGACTTAATCGTTTGTTTTTTCTCTTGTACAAAATTTTCTTGCGTGTATGTGTGTATATCTGTGGTTTGCTGCACAGTGAGATCACTTTTGATTTTATGCATATTGTGTTTTTGAGACAAAAAAACCAATGTGTATGTAGGATGATGATGATGATAATAAATTTTGTCTTCTTTTTCTTTGTTCCTTTATTGAAATTTTTGGTTATCTTTAGCGATTGTGTACGAAAATTATTTAAAAAGAGTCAAGGAAGAATCTAAACAACTGATTGATTTGAAAGAGGAAAATCTTTATTTGTCAATCTTGTGTAAAAGACAATTGCGTCTGCATGAACAGTTGCCAATATGCTTTAGAAGAAAAGGTTTATTGCCCTGGGGAAAGTAAACAATCGTTCCTTTTTTTTCAAAACTTTTGTGTGATGACAATAATTGAAAACGAACTAGTTGAAGAATATCGAAGTGAATGAGAGCACACTTATGAATTGCGAGAAAGAAAAAACCGTTGTCGAGGTGAAGTGTGTCCGTCAGTAAAAGAATGCATCAGACATTTTTCAGATACATAGTTGAGAGCATGCATTAGAATATGTCGAACAATTTGTTTCCAAATGCGAGAAAATATTAATCCTATCATTTATTTGATTCAAGGTCTTGTATATCAAAGAACAAATGTATGAAATTGTGTAGGTATTTGTGGTTTAGAATATATGTTTTTTGAATTTTTAGTTTTATATAAAAACAAAGCAACCATTTAAAAATCTCCTTTTAGTGTCAAGAAAGGGAATTTTAGTACTTCTTTGTTAAGTCTAGGTTGTCACTATCATTTTATTAGTTTCATATGTATCATGAAAATTAGTCTTTCTTTGTTCATTATTATCTTGTTCTATACAATCTTATATTCTCTAAACGACAAAATAAGATATGCATGTCCATCATCATCTTCTCTTCTCATTGATCGACAGCTACTTCCTTCTACAGTAATGCAAGAATGCATGAGATGGGCGGTGCTATATATGTATATATGTGTTTCTAATAGACATTCGAAGTTAACCGAAGATATGGCAGAATGTCAACACATGTCTATTTCTTGTCTTCTTCTTCTGTCAACACATTTCTATGACAACAGCACATGATCTAATCAATAGAGGTCTTCTAGTGGAAGCTTCTTTTGACCTCTAGTTTCGAGATTGTTCTTTTTTTTCTAAATATTAGTCATAGATTTTATTATTGTCGATAGATATTTCTTTTTGTCTTTTTGATTAGACAATGGTTTGCAATAGAAAATGATGGATTGTATTAACTTCTTAGTTCGACGTATTGCTTAAATGCAGTTACATTCATGTACTATTTATTATTGTCATTGAAATGAATACATGATTTTGATCGATAAATTTGTATAGGTAACATAAAGAGAAAAAGAAAGACGGTGGCTTTTTATGCATATGATTTGTTTTCTGAGGCTTAATCATTGGTCTTTATATTTATTGTATGAAACGGTTTTATACACGAGTATGTGGTTATCATAATAGAAAAAAGAGAGGCAAAAAAACCATTGTTATTTTTTATTGGATAAAATAAGGGATAATACAAATAAGCTTTTTTGTTGACACTAAAAAGGACAAAAATAAAAATATGAGAATTACATATGACTTTAGAATTTATTTTATTAATGTCAAGTATTCTGTTTTGTTCAAGAAAGAAAACTAATGATTAATAACAAGGTATATAAATGTAGACTCTCGTTTTGCATTTACTAAATGAATATAGATTATCGTGAAATTTTTTATATCTAAAAATAACTTTTGTTAAACTAAATAAACGATTCTAAAATGTTCTCGTATATTTATCATACAATACATTTAACACTTGAAGACAGTACATGATTAAATAATTGATGATTCTGTTATGAACTTTTTTTTCTGCTTATGTTTGGCTACTCATTTCTAAGAAAATAGATAAGTAAATGCAGCTGTATTTTGTTTCTCTTATGGTAACAGTATGTATCACGTCGCATCTATATTTCATTACTTGTCAAACATCATTAGGTACGCATGTCTTTTTAATAGTTATTTCTCCGATGAAATTATATTCTCATTAACTCAAGGAAATAAATCTTACACCCATAATAATTTACCGATTATTGACCTTCATAGTCGCATAGAAAAAATTAGCTATTTGTTTCACTGGAATCGTTTGTCTTTTTTCATCGCTTAGGAGCTTAATCAATGGAATAATATTCTGGCTGTCTATCTAATACTCAGAAAGCTAATAATTATTAAAATATTTACGCATATATTTGTTTAGTTTATTCTATAATTCATTTAGTGTATTTAATACATTGACATGTATTTAATTTATTCAATAATTTAATAGTATTATTTAAGTTTTAATAGCTCTTAGATTGATTTTTCTTTTATGATATGATAACATTACAACGAAGATAGTATAAAATATCATCAATTATTTAGCAATAAAATTTTTTTAATATTTACAATCAAATATTTTTTTCATCATTATTCATTTAATATGAAAGTACTCATGAACGTAATGTAAATAACATTTTCTGTAACATACAAAATGATTTATCTTGATTTAAAATGATAGAAGGCATAGGCTCACATTCAAGAGGGAACAATTTTGGTTATGAATAGGACTCAGGGAGACTAAGAAAACTCTAAGAGGTTTCAGACTCATGGCGTGCCTAGATATAGATCTGGTTGCCACGTAGGATGTAAAAATATGGAATATTTTAGTTTCTCCTCGATGAAAATAAGCTTTGTTTTAATACAAAATGGCAGCAAAAGAAACATAAACTAATGGTTCGACTTCTTCATCTATGTTCTTATTCTTCGATGTATCATCCAGTATATCTTCTAATTAAATATAACATTGGTCTCCATTGTATTTGCTTGGTATGACTTGAAATTTTCAACTCTTATGTAAAGATGTTTGATATGTTCTGTTACTTTAGAATGTTGAATAGATCAAAAACCAATCTTCTTAGAACTTTGAATGCTCAAATGCGATGCAATTAAGATAGTCATAGTCATTTTCAGGACAGGATATGGAAAAATGGCTAGGTCAGTTCGCCCGATCTATACTAACTACAATTGATACTCTTGTAGTTCTCGAGCAAAGAGAAAAATACATATATATATTTTGTACTTATTTTTTTTGCAGTAACCAGTAGCAGCACAACTTAAATGAAAGTTATCTCGAGATTAATTAAACCCTCTTGAATAAGTTTGATTCTGTTTTGTGTATCAAATGAAAAGTCTATATTAAAAATTGAGAAGATCCTAAAAAATGCCATATTCTTACATATATGTAGCAATCAGATCTCTGTCTTGGCATGTTATGGGTCTAAATTCGTTTAGAATTCTCTTATTCTCACTGAGTCTTACTCATAACCAAAAGCAAGGGCTTGAACGACATTCGACAGTTGGGTATGTTCCCTTGTAAATGATGTAATAAGAGAAAGAAAGGAATAGCGCTTGATTTACCATAAATTGTTCTTTAAGTTTATTATTCGTATCTACAAGTAATAATAAAATACAATAGTATTCTTCCGAATCGATAAATTTCATTGAATAAGACTGATCAATAATTAGTTTCAAAATATAAAAGAACTTTTTGTTATTAAATATTTTCAACCAATAGATTCTATTTATATTGTTAATTAATTCGTTTTGTTATTAGTGAAGCATGAATAATATCCGGTAACACTGTAATCTATTTCTAATATCCTACTTTTTGCCATGCAAAGACCAATTGGAATGACTAGATGACTAGATTTTTTTTTCTATCAAATTTTTCTCATGTGTAAACTCGATATTCATTTTTATACCCATAGAGAATTTATGTTGAATGCTTATTAAAATAACAAACTTCATCAGATCAGTTAAACAATTTACATTGAATATTTGTGATAATTTTATTTACAGAATAAGTTGTTCGAAAAAAACGATCAAAAACATTTTTAAAATAGATACTTCAATAATATTTACAAAGATATGTGTAAAAAGTTTATGAAAGTTTTCTTAAAAAAAAAAAAGATCTTGATAAGTTGAACTTGTTTGCTTAAAGTTGTTTAAATGTATAACTCAAAATAATTTGTACAAGATTATGAATCTATTATCACAAATATAATACGATTTAATCAATAATAATAGATGAGAACCTAAATAGGGATTATTTTAATCTGAACATTTCTTTTTCTTTTGATCACGATCCATTACGTAAGCTTTGTGAAAAAAAAAAGTTCTATTTGAAGCTAAAAGTTTTGTTTCTATGTTCAATCAACATATTTGATCGCTTTAAGATCACAATACAATTTATAATAATTGGAATTTCTTATTTTTGATATACAAATCGGAGTGTCGAAAATCAAATATTCAACACATGAATCAATTTGTTTAAAATCAAATCAATGTAGAATTGTAATTGAAATGATTTGAAAGTGTTATTAATTACAGAGGATACAAACTTAAAATTATGATTCAGCGATGTAGTTCTCGTCGTTGTATATTCGAAACACACTTTTACACTGATATTTATAAATCGATTCTTTATGAATAAAATCTTATGTAA